ACCACATCCCACTGGCAGCGCTCCCGCTGCTGGCCACCTCCTCTGGCACCTACCAGCAGGCTGTGGGCACTGTCATCACCCGCGCCAACCAGACCTACGCAGCCTTCCTGCACTCTGGAGAGGGCACTGGCTTCTGCGGCCAGGTGAGGTGGAATCTGGGGGGAAGCTTGGCTCTGGGGTCCAGCTGTGACCCTGCATGAAGGGCTCAGGGGTTTCACTCTCCTCATGGGTCTGTGGTCTCCACAGGTGGTGCTGCTGGGGGACTGTGTGGGTGGCATCCTGGGATTCGATGCCTTGTGCCAGAGCTGGGCAGGCTCAGGGGGCAGCCGGAGCAGCAGCCGCCGTGGCAGCCTGGTGAGTGCCTTGCATTCCAACACCCCACGGGGAGGGTTTGGGGGTGCACTGGGGGCTACATGGGATGTGGGTGTTTGCTGCCTCTCCCTGCAGAGCACAGAGCCCATCTCCCCGGAGCAGTGTGGCGGCCCAGACCCGCTGGCTGATGGGACAGAGGGAGCACCAGTATTGGGCCAGGCCAGCCCTGAGCCTCCAGGGACACAGGGGGACAGCCAGCAGCACAGCTCCACGTGCAGGTGAGCGCAAGGGGGGTGGTCGGCTATATTGTGCTTTATGGAAAGGGTGCCATTCCCATCTGCTCCAGGCTGGGAAGGAGCATTTCGTGGAGGCTACCTGCCCCCGGGGGATCTTGCTGGAGCTCCTCTGGGATAGCAGGACCACAACAGGCACAGCTTTGCCTTCAGGATGGTGGGAGTGCGGTGTTGCCATCCCTCCCAATGCCCACTGTCTCTGCTGTCCCAGCCTGCAGGCCAGCGAGGCCCCGCTGGAGGCAGAGGCACCCCGGAGCAGTGCTGTGGTGCTGGATGGGGCAGAGGGTGCCAGCACCCGCCTCGAATTTAAGGTATCCGGCTTCTTCCTCTTCGGTTCCCCACTGGGGCTGGTGCTGGCACTGCGCAAGACCGTCATGCCTGCTCTGGATGGTGAGGATCCCCGCCTGCCATGGTGCCAGCCCCTGACCCTCCCTGCAGGGCTCAAGTCCCTGAGTCGTGCTCATCTGACAAGCCTGAGCTCCCCAGCACCACCCCAGAGAGCCCTACTTGGGTTGGCGCCCCTCGCATGCCCAGCCCTGGCTGTGTGGGTGTTGGTGGGTGCCTGAGTGTTCCTACTCTGTGCCAGCCTCAGCCTATCCCTGGTGCCCCAAATTTCCCTCTCCAGCCTTCCCTCTTGCTGTGTCCTGCTTTATCCTTCCTGTGTGTTTTGCTCTCCAGCCCTTGTGGGCACCTCTGACCCTGCTCTGTGCTGCAGTGGCCCAGCTGCGTCCTGCCTGTGAGCAGATCTACAACCTCTTCCACGCCGCCGATCCCTGCGCCTCCCGCCTGGAGCCCCTCCTGGCCAAGGCCTTCCATGCTGTGCCCCCGCTCAGCGTGCCCCGATACCAGAAGTACCCCCTGGGTGATGGCACCTCGTCCCTGTTGGGTGAGCAGGTTCCCACCAGGCACCCTGGGGCCACGTCAGGGTACCCAGAGCACCCACATCCTGGCTGGGTGCGGGTAGAGGGATGTACAAGCCCTTGCCACTGCTCTGAGGCTCTGCTGGAGTGGTGGGTGTCCCTGGGGGCTCTGGATGTGCTCACCCAGGTCTCTCTTCAGCCGAGGCCCTGCAGACACACTCTGCCCTGTTCCTGCCCAAAGTGGATATGGCTGCTCCCCCTACCCCCACTGGCAGCTTTGGGGGCTTCTGGAAGAGCAATGAGCCGGCAGAGCCCCCCACTCCTGCCAGCACCAGTGAGGTTGTCAAGAGTAAGTGTCATCCCCACCCACCCCATCCCATGTGGGCACCTCAGGCTGCACAACAGGGGATGAGGTCTGGAAAAGGCTTCATTCCAGCTCTCCCTGCAGTCCTGGAGCGCTGGTGGGGCTCGAAGCGCATTGACTACTCTCTGTACTGCCCCGATGCCCTGACTGCCTTCCCCACCATCACCCTGCCCCACCTCTTCCATGCCAGTTACTGGGAATCCTCCGATGTGGTGGCCTTCATCCTGCGCCAGGTATGGTGGGCACGGTGGGGTGGGTGGCAGGCTGGGGCTGGCCGAGGCTGAGCTGGTCCTGTGCTATCGGCAGGTGATGGAGAAAGAGGGTCCACAGCCTGCGGAGAGCGAGGAGAGCTCCATCTACAGCCCTGCCATCCCTCGGGAGAAGTGGCAGCGCAAGCGCACCCAAGTGAAGATCCGGGTATGTGGCCAGTGGGAGGCCACCTGGGGCATCCTGGGGTGTGTGGGTTCCCACAGCCCAGTGGTGTCCCAGTGGCACCTCAGGAGCTCCCCGAGGAGCTGCTGAACGCCTCATGTGCCTGCAGAACGTGACGGCCAACCACCGTGCCTGCGATGTCATTGTGTGTGAGGGCAAAGCGCAGGTCCTCAGCGGGCGCTTCATGTACGGACCCCTGGATGTGGTGACACTGACTGGGGAGAAGGTATTGCTGGGCTCAGGAGGCCACCAGGACCCCTCAAACAGGGCAGGGTGTCCAGGACTAGGCATGGGGCTGGTGTAATCCACAGTAGGGGAAGGATGTGGTTAACAGGACCCTGTGTGGGATGGCGGGAGAAGGACGTGTATGGGACACAGCAGGATGTGAGGGTCCAGCCCGTTTCCCTCTCTCAGGTGGACATCTACATCATGACGCAGCCACTGTCAGGGAAGTGGCTGTTCTATGGCACTGAGGTGACGAGTGGCAGCGGGCGCGTGACCTTCACCATCCCTCCAGACAAGGCTCTGGCCATCGGGATCTACCCTGTGCGTATGGTAGTCAGGTGAGGTGTTGCCTCAGTTTCTCCTCCAGCCCTTTTGGCAGAGCTACACCTGCTGCTCTGGCAGCAGAGCGGTGCTGAGCCACCACCTCTGCCATTGTAGAGGGGACCACAGCTATGCCGAGGCGTACCTGACCGTGGTGGCCCGTGGCACCGAGTCTGTTGTGTTCAGCATCGATGGCTCCTTCACTGCCAGCGTCTCCATCATGGGCAGTGACCCTAAAGTGCGGGCGGGGGCTGTGGACGTTGTAAGGTGGGTGCCCTTCAGTCAGGGAGTCAGTCTCCCCATCTTTCATGGTGTAACAACTCAGAGCAGGGACAAGGGGGAGGGTATTCCACCCTTGCCTCCAGCACATCATCTCTATGCTGCTGCCCTATTGTGGAAAATAATCTCTGCAAGTTTGGATGTGGTCCCCACTGCTCTGCTGTGCCTTCACCTTGATAAAATCCCTAGGAGCAGGGAGGTTTTGGAGGTAGCACCCACACATGCTATATTGGGAGATCCCAGCTTCCCATAGCAGGACTGTCTCCACACAGGCTCTTGGCAGCCACCCATGTCCCCTCCTAGGCACTGGCAGGACTCGGGGTACATGATCATCTATGTGACGGGGCGCCCCGACATGCAGAAGCACCGTGTGGTGGCCTGGCTGTCCCAGCACAACTTCCCTCACGGCGCCGTCTCCTTCTGCGATGGGCTCACCCATGACCCGCTGCGCCAGAAAGCCGCCTTCCTGCAGAGCCTGCGCACTGAGGTGGGTGTGGGGGTGCTGCTGGGACACAGGGCCGGTGATGGGGTGGTGTGGGCTGTGCTGAATCCTGTGCACCTCTGCATCCCGGTGGAGATGCTGGGAGCTGGAGTGCATTGCCATGGCAGAGCTGGAAGCTTCTCAGGGCAGCTCCCAGCCGTCCCTCTTAACATGAGGGTGTCCCAGCACTTGGAGGTAGCTGTCCTTGTGGGAAGGGTTGTTCTTTGCCCTAATGCTCTTGTCCCTGGGCAGGCAGAGATCTCCATAGTCGCCGGCTACGGCTCCACCAAGGATGTCTCCGTCTACAGCTCGCTGGGACTCGCGCCAGCACACATCTACATTGTGGGACGGGCCGTCAAGAAGTTCCACAACCAGTGCCAGGTATGCTGGTGGCGGGACTGGGGACAGACTGGGGATGCAGGGCATGATGGCTGACCCCACCAGCCGGCCATGGCCACTGGCTCAGGCTGTCTGTGTGTCCTGCAGTTTCTCTCTGAGGGTTATGTTGCCCACCTGGCCCAGTTGGAAGCTGCAGCCCTGGCTCACTCCCCCAAGGGCCCCCCACGACCCGTGCTGGGCAAAGGCACCTATGGCTGCCCGGCGCCTGTCGACTTCCTGCGGAAGCAGAGCCAGCTCCTGCGCTCTCGGGGCTCCAGCCAGGCAGAGCGGGATGGGGGGCCCCCCTCAGCACCCCCTGGCTTTTCCCGGACCAAGCCCCGCAGCATCAGCCTCAAGCTGGAGGGTGAGGAGTGAGGATGGCATGGCCATGTCCCCTCTCTGCCACGTCCCTGATTTCCCAGCAAGGAGCACCTGGGGACAGAGCCAGTGCTGGGCCATGAGGCCATCGCAAGGAGATGAGGGTGCTGGGTCCCCTGAGACCAGGGGGGTGCTGGGAGAAGGCTGAGAGTCCCCCAGAGGACCAGAGTGATCCCCTCAGGGCTGAGCCACCCTGGGTCCTCCCTGCTGCCCCCAGCCCCGTCCCCTCTGGTTCTTTGGAGTTGTTGGGCAGTGCCCAGTGGAGTCTGCACCCCAGGGTCATTATCCCTGTGCAGAACTGGGGGCCGTGGCTGTGCCCCAGAGCGAGTGGCACCTCCCTACCTATTTATTTCCGTCTGGTATCATGGTGCAGGGCTGGGCTGGGGTTCCAGAGTGGTTCCTCTGTTCCCCTTTTGTTTCAGTGTTGAATAAAGAGATTATGACAAGGTGCCAGCACCCACGAGTCTGCTCTGTGCCTGTGGCCGCAGGGTTCCCACCCACTGGGAAAGACCTGGGGAGCCTCCAGGGACACCGTGTCCCACAAGGAGATGACTGTGGGGCACAGCAGTTGCATCATAAGCAATTCAGGGCAGGGAAAAGAGTGTGTGGGCTGTGCCGACTCCGATACCCTCCCTCTCTCCAAATTGGTTTCCCCTTGTTTTACCTCTAGCAGCAAATTTTTGTGTGACCAGGGGTGTGACTGGTTTTACTTGAATTTATCTTGGCATAGCATGACCAGAGATTTATAGAGATAGCAGGAACAAGCTGTTACTCTATATAAAATATTCCCGACACTGACATGACAAGAGGAGACACTGGTTTGGGATCATAGCAGCAGCCTGGAGAAGTGACAATGGGGTGGCATGGAGAACAGGCATGAATGGGTGAAGCTGGGGCCAAGGCTCAGTGCCGCCCCTCCATAGCCACCATAAAGTATAAAAACATCAAATAAGTGATAAAAGTTGGCAGGAAACAGCAGGCTCTTGTCACTCACGCATCCCTGGCGTGACGATGAGCCCTGGCTGCGTCCCCAGGCCATGGTGAGCTCCGGGGCCATTTCCACTGACATCAAATAAGTAAAATCTGTATTAAACATTAATAATCATCCATGACCATTCCACATGTGGAATATCTAAAAGAACCTGTCCCGAGAGCACTGGGCTCTCCCTTGCAGCCACGGACTCTACTGGGAGAAGATGCCCTTGAAGCGGATCTTGTCTTCGGCGTCCTTCTCCCGCAGCCGTGCTTCCAGGCTCCGCAGTTCCTTGGAGACCACGGGGCGCAGAGAGGGGTCGAGCGCCAGGACTTTGGCGAAGTCAGCCTGTGCCTCGGCCACGTTCCACACGGCCGCGTGGGCCTTGGCCCGCTTGAAGTAGGCCTTGACATTGTCTGTGGGGAGAGAGCCAGCGTCAGCAGCATGTGGGGCTGTCCTGGTGCCCACCACAGCCACGTGGGATGGCTCGTGGCTCCTTACCCTCGTACTTGTTGAGGATGGAGGAGCAGTGGTCCAGGACCTCGTAGTACTCCTCACACTGCAGCTTGCACTGGCAGTAGTTTAAGAGCAGGGGTGTGATCTTCTGGTCGAGCTCGATCCAGTCTGGAGAACCTGGCTGCTCCTGTTGCAGACAGAGCAGGGGGAGTGTGGGGCAGCTCTCAAGCCCTGCATTCCTAAGGATGCCTGTGTGGATGTGGGGAGACCCACCTTCATCTGCAGGTTCTTGAGACAGGCGATGGCATCGTAGTATTTGGCAGCCGCCTCAGGCACCTTGCCCTGACGGTACAGCTCGTTGCCTTCCTTGTGGATCTGGGGCACAGCCTGGAGCTTCTCCTCATCTGTCATGGCCCATGGGTCCTGCTGGTAGGAGCCGGGTGGCTCCACCTGCCAGCACCCCATCATGGAATCAGAGAACAGGATCATCGAATTGTTTAGGTTGGAGAAGACCTCTAGAATCATCGAGTCCCGCACTGCCAGGGCCACTACTAAATCACATCCCACATGCCACATCTGTGTGTTTTCTGGACACTCTCACCCCGAGCTCCCCATGCAGGCACCTCACCTTCAGCACCTCAATGTCAAAGATGAGGGGCTGGGGGTTCTTCTGGAGCTCATCGAGGTCGGGGTACCCCAGGGAGTAGTGCTCGTGCATTTGGGCGATGCTGCAGCAGTGCCGCTGCCCCTCCAGCGGGTCCTTCCCAGCTGCGATGTTCCGCAGGCTCTTGGACACTAGCGGGTAAAGCACCACGTGCTGCGGGAAGGAAGGGAGCCGGAATTTGAGGACGGCGGGGGGGGAAAAATATAAGGATGCTCCAGCCTCGAACCCCACGGCTGGAGCGCGCCGGGGCGCCCGCGACCCCCTCCCACGACATAAAGTCACCGCCCACCCGCATAGGCCACGCCCCCAGGTTCCGGTCCCGCCCACCTTGGCGTCGCAGCGGAAGCGCGCGCGCTCGCCGGGCCGCATGGTTCGCAGCGCCGCTTCCCAGACCGGCAACTTGAACTTTTTCCCGGCGATGAGCTCCATGGGCTTCCCCCGCGCCCTGCTGTCGTCCACGGGAGTCTCCTCATCGCCGCACCGCAGCGTCCGGTAGTGGAAAGTGGCCTGAAGGAGCAGGAGGAGCCCGCGGTGTCACCATGGCGACGCAGGCGAGGGGGGGGGCGCGCATGCGCGCCTCCCCCGCCGCGTTCCGCTTCCCACATCCCCCCACCCCGCCCGTCCCCCCGCAGACCTGACCTTGGTGCCGTCGCGGAAGTCTGGCAGCGGCCCGGTGCCCTCCCGCAGCACCTCCTTGTCCACGCCGTCCGCCCGCAGCTGCTCGACTTGCTGCGCCATCGCGCCCGCTCCGCCCGCGCCGCCAGCCCTGCCTCGGCCGCCTCCGCCGCCGCTCGGTTCTTTCCGGATAGTCGCGGCTGCGCGGGGCTCCCCCTGCCGGCCCGGAGGTGGCGCTGCGGGGCGGGGGCTCCGGGAATGGGGCGTGGTCATGGCAAGGGAGCGTGGACAGCGGAGGCGGCCGCGCGCCCCGTTCCCACGTCGTTCCTCTGGTTTTCCTTTTTTCTCCACCGTTCCCGGGCGCCATTCCAGGAGACACGGGAGGCATTCCGGAATAAAAACCTCCTGTGGCACTTTGTCACCTACCTGGAAAGGCCGCGGTGTAGAATGGGAGGTGGATAAAGCGGCCGAGTGCCACTGTGAGGGCTCCCGCCCGCCGCGGGGAGTGCGTAGCTCAGGCGTTTCCTGCCGCTAGCCTTGGCCGCGTCCCAGTGCGGTCAGGACGGACAAGCAGCCCCGGCAAGGCCGTGCGACACCGTTGGGGGAGACACCTCAGAGCTTACCAGGGTTCAGCCCACTAGCCATCCAAGGGTGACATGAGGACACTGGCAAGTAGCAGGTCCCCAGTAACACAGAAATGCTGGTGGCTCATGGAGGTGACTGTGCTGCTATAGGAGTGATCCCATAGGGAGCACGCTGTTCTGCCGGCACTGTCATGTTAAGCACTGCTGGGGGTGGCAAAGGCCCGTCGTCACCCTGACACTCAGCGGTGAAGTCAAGAGAGCTTCTCCTCCCCCCTCTTGCAACCCTTCTTTTGCGGTGGTGTTTGAACACAACTTACACAGGTAGGGCCCCAAAACATGAAGTGGACTCTGCCCCCCACCGAATGCGGCGTCACGGCGGGGCAGGGGCGGCGGAGCGGCGGCGTTATCGGCGGCAGCGCGGGCGTCGGGAGGCGCGTGCGGTCGCCGGCGCCGCCGGGAGCCGCCGCGGGGTGACCGCCTCCTTCCTGCCCTGGCGGCGAGGCGAGCGCGGGGCCGCAGCCGCGGCAGCAGCGCCATGTGCCAGCGCCGCCGCGAGGGACCGGGGAGCTGGCACCTGGCAGCGCCGCGCGGGGCCGGGGGCTGCTGCCACCCCCCGCGGGGGCTGCGAGCTGCCGGGAGGGGAGCGCCCCGAGCGTGGGGCCTTTGAACTTCGCAGGTGCCCGAGCTAGATGTGGTCCCGCGGAAGGTGTCGGTAGGATGTGGGCTGAAGGCTGTCGTCGCCGCCAGGACGGCTCTTGTCGGGCTCCAGCAGCACCGTTGGAGGCCCCGGGGGATGGAGGCAGGGCCCCCGCGGGGCAGGTGCAGTGGGGGGGCTGTCTCCCCCCGGGGACATCCGGGTGGCAGCCCACTGTGGCGAAGCGTGTGACGCCAGAAGCGCAGGCGAGGCTCATATTTGGGCACGGAGCAGGTTATTGGAGGCCGCGGCCCCGCAGCCGGGAGATGAGGCGCCTGATAAAGGCTGCCCCGGTGCTGCTGCCTGCGTTGGCTCGGGCGCAGGGCTGCGAGAGCTGCCCCGGCTGCGCCGGCTCGGGGCCGGTGCCGTGGGGCCGGTGGCCGTGGGGCCGGTGCCGTGGGGCCGGTGCCGTGGGGCCGGTGGCCATGGGGCCGGTGGCGGCGCTGGGGCTGCTGCTGTGCGTGCGGCTGTGTGCGGGTGAGTGGCGGCGGGCGGGAGCGGGGCCCGCGGCGGTGGCGGGCCCGGCTCAGCAGCCCCCGTGCCGCAGGCTCCGGGCAGCTGCGTCTGGTGGGCGGCGGCGGGCGCTGTGCCGGGCGCGTGGAGGTGGAGCACGGCGGTGAGTGGGGCTCCGTGTGCGTCAACGATTTCGACTGGGAACCTCGCATAGGCGAGGTGGTGTGCCGGCTGCTGGGCTGTGGCCGGGTGGCCAGGGTGTCCCCGTACGCCAGGTTTGGGCAGGGCACCGGGCGGATCTGGCTGCAGCTCTTACTCTGCCGAGGAGGTGAGAGTGCGCTGGAGGAGTGTACGCACTTTGGATGGGGACGGCACATCTGCGGCCACGAGCGGGATGTGGGGGTGATCTGCACAGGTAAGGGGACACGCTGGCCGTGCAGGGACCGGCACGTTGTGCTGGAGCATCCTGGGCAGGTCTGAGCCGTGCCGGTGCCCCTGTGCAGATGCCGTGGAGCTGAGGCTGGTGGGCGGCAGCAGTCCCTGTGCCGGGAGGGTGGAGGTGAAGCTGCAGGGACAGTGGGGCTCGTTGGGAGACGACGATTGGGACATGGAGGACGCCGAGGTGGTTTGCCGGCAGCTGGGCTGTGGCTCGGCTTCTGGTGCCTACTCTGCCCATGACACGTTCGGTCAAGGGAATGGGCTCATCAGCCTGGCCAGGGTGGACTGCGGTGGGTACGAGGCCACGCTCTGGGACTGTGAGATCCGTGGCTGGGGACCCTATAAATTCTTCAACCATTACTGGGACACGGCTGTTGTCTGCCAAGGTAGGAGCTGGGCTTATGGGGGCACGGGGCACTGCCTGCGCATCCCTTGACACTGGTCCTGCAGGATTATCCCGGCTAGTGGGAGGTGATGGAGCCTGTGCCGGGCGTCTGGAGGTGCGTCGGGGCCGGGCCTGGGTCGGTGTCTGTGAGGATCAGGTGGACATGAAGGCGGCCCAGGTGGTGTGCAGGGAGCTGGGCTGCGGTGAGGCGCTCGCCATCCCTGGCAGCGCTCGATTTGGGAGAGGATCAGGGTCATTGTGGGACGGTGGCTTCCAGTGCAATGGCACCGAGTCCCTGCTCAGTGAGTGTGCCCGGCGTCTGCCCCTCAGCCAGGCCTGCGCCGGCCCTGCCAGCGTCATCTGCTCCGGTAAGTGCTGGGGACGGCGGGAGCTGTTGGGGTCCCTGCGGCATGGCCCCCCTGACCGCCGTTCGTGCCGCAGCCTACACGGGCTTCCGGCTGGGGAACAGCAGCTCGGGATGCTCCGGGCGAGTGGAGGTGGCAGTGAGGGGGACGTGGGGATCCGTGTGCGCCAGCGAGTGGGACCTGGCCGATGCGCACGTCCTGTGCCGCCACCTGGGCTGCGGCCGCGCCTCCAGCGTGCCCCCGGGAGGCTCCTTCGGCAGCGGGGAGGGGACACTGCGGCCGGACGCCTTCGGCTGCCACGGGAGCGAGCGGCACCCGGGCGAGTGCCCCGTGGCCGTGCTGGGGAAGCCGCCCTGTGTGCCCGGAAACGCCGCCGCCGTCAACTGCTCAGGTGTGCAAGGCGGCTCTGCGAGGAGCCTTAAGGGCTTTTGGGAGCCTGCTAAGAATTGGCAGCAGTGGATACCGGATATATTTTGGACTGAAGTTCCATCTGAGGCAGGTGCTACAGCTCCGTGGCTCTGCTGCTGAATTTGCAGGTGCTGGCTTTGTCACGACCCTGCGGCTGGTGGATGGTCAGAGCTTGTGTGATGGGCGGCTGGAGGAGGCCATAACCAGCCCAGCCTGGCGCCGTGTGCCGCTGGAGCAGTGGAAGTCATGGGATGTCAACGTGGTATGTTCCGTGCTGGGCTGTGGCCAAGCCAGGGATGTTTACTCTGCCTTGGGTACGGCTACTGCATTGAGCAGCAGCCCCAGCCTGGTGGACATCCGGACTGAAGAGATGGACGGCGTTTTGGACGTGGGCTCTGCACTGACCGGCAGCCCTGAGGAGATGGATGACCAGCTGGAGGAGAGGGGCGATGTCTCAGGGATGGGCCCTGCGCTGAACAGCAGCGTGGAGGAGATGGCCATCACCTGCTCAGGTGGGTGTCCCGAGAAGGGCCAGAGGTGCGGGTGCCCCAAGCAGCCCCCCCAGCCCATTCCTTCCCGGTCCACAGGCAGCCGGCAGGTGAGGCTGGCGGGGAGCTCGGGCCGCTGTGCCGGGCGCGTGGAGGTCTATTCCGGGGGCAGCTGGAGCTCCGTCTGCCAGGAAGGCTGGGAGCTGCAGGACGCCGCCGTTGTCTGCCGGGAGCTGGGCTGTGGCATGGCACTGGAGGCCCCGAGCCGGGCGCGCTTCGGTGCCGGCACGGGGCCGCTGTGGCCGTACGTGCCCGACTGCTCCGGCTCCGAGGAGTCTCTCTGGGAATGCGGGCGCACGGAACGGCGCGAGTGCGGGCGCGGTGGCGGGGCAGGGGCCGTCTGCTCAGGTCGGTGCTGGGCACCCCAAGGTCAGGGCCCGGCAGAGGCCCCGGGGGGTTCCCGGCCGTGCCGTGACCCCCCCGCACCCCTTGCAGAGCAGCTCTCGGTGCGGCTGGCAGGAGGCCCTGGGCGCTGCCGGGGGTACCTGGAGGTGTCCTACAACGGCACCTGGGGCCGCGTCTGCGCCAACGGCACCAGAACCGGCACCGGCACCGCCGTCTGCCGCCAGCTGGGCTGTGGGCACCGGGGCTGGCTCTCGGCTGTCCCCATCCAGCAGCCGTCCCTGGCGTGGCTGGCCTGGGTGGGCTGTGAGGACGGGGCCCGCTCGCTCTGGGGGTGCCCCTCGGCCCCCTGGCACCTGCAGAGCTGTGGCACCGGCGGCTACGCCCAAGTGGAGTGTGAGGAGGACAGCGATGGCACCTCTGAGGGACGCACTACCCCACATGCAGAGGGTGCCACCAGCACAGGTAGCTCTGCCCGTGCCTGCATCCCCCACCGCAGGTTGGCTGGTGTCCCCCTCCCCTCACTGCCTGCCTGTGTCCCCACAGGTGTCCCCAGCAGATCGCCCTCAGCAGTGGCCGTGGGGACTGTGCCTGTGCCCACTGTGCTGTGCGTGGTGCTGGGGACGCTGCTGTGCCTGTCCCTGGGTGCCCTGGCCCTGCTGCTGTGCCGTGCCCGTGCCTGGCGCCGAGGTGGGTCCCGGTGGATGGGGGTGGGGACAGATCCGGTCTGGGGGTCCAGAGGCTCCTGTCCTGTGGAACAGATCTGAAGGTGGCCGGGGTGATCGCGGTGCCACCCACAGGGCCCAGGGCCCCAGGTAAGTGCTGCATCTGGTTCCAGGCCCTGGCAGAGCTGCAGATGCCATCTCCAACGCTGTCTACGAGGAGCTGGATTACAAAGCCGTGCCAGAGTACCAGGAGGTGCCCACTCCCCCAGGTGGGTGCCGCCCTTGTGCCCCGGCTGTGCTCGGAGTGAAGGCTCTGCCTGACAGCCCCACGGCACCTCCGGGTCCTGGTGGCCCTGCTGTGGTTCCTGGCCATGGGCTGTGGGTTCCCCTGGCTGCCACAGCAACCCCGCTCTGTAGTGTGAGGTTCTGTCACCTGCAGAGCCGCTTGTGGCCACCCCCAAGTCCCTGTTTGTTCCCTGCAGGTTCCCTGTCGGAGGGACGGGTGAAGAAGCTGCCGTATTACACCGGGGACAGCGTGGAGGGGAGTGACACCGAGGCCGCCCCAGGTAGGGCCACAGGGCAGGAGCCCAGCAGGGAGTGCTGGGGACAGGGGGCACACCCAGGCTGGGGGGCTGAGGGGACAAATCCTTTTCCCCTTGTTAGTGTGCAGAGAGACATCGCCTTTCCCTGTGGGACCACAGGGACTCCAGCAGCTGCCCAGTGGAAAGGCTGGCAAGGATGGCACAGCCAGAGCCCTGCCAGGGACACTGGTCACTGCCATGGACCCCTCTGATTTTCCCAGATCCCCCTGCCCGGCCCGAGCAAGGAACCCCAGAGGGCTACGACGATGTCCTGGATGTGCCACAGGAGGCCCCTGCTCCCAGCACTGGGGACATCTCTGAGGGAGTGACACGGCAGAAATCGATCTGTGTCCTCCCCACAGGTGAGAGGGCTCACAGCTGCCCTGTCCCCTCTGCAGAGCCACTCCAGGGCAGGGTTTGTGTGTGGGGGCAGGCAGGGCCCCAGCACAGATCCATGGGCGCTGTGCTCTGACCCCCGGTGGGGTCCGTCAGGGGGGACAGGGAGCTGCCTGCCCCTCAGGCACCTTTCCGTGCTGTCCCCAAGGTGGGATCTGCTCCCCTCCATGTCCCCCAGGAGCAACAACAGACTTCTCAGATCCGAGCCCAGGGAATACGGACTATGATGATGTGGGCAGCAGCGCCCCGGCGACACTGCCATGAGGATGTCCTGGCCATGCCACAGCCCTGGGGACACGTGTGTGGCAGTGCGGTGGGGCCCTGTGCCCAGGGAGGTCTGGCCCTGCCCATGGAAGTCATCCCTCGCTGTGCAGCGCTGCAGGAAAGCAGCTCCTGTGTAGGGATTTCCTTTGATTTCTGTGTGTTGCTATCGCACTGGCGCGGTAATGTGGTGGAAGGGATTTAGAAAGGCCTTGGGAATTGGAAACTGAGGTAAAGATACATTTAGGTATGAGGAAAAGATACACTTATGTATGCTCCATTGTTTCGGGAAAGTTTCGCTTCAGTATTTTTCTGTAAACCCCCTTCTACCCACCCCTGAGCAGTTCCCATTGGACCTGACCCCTGGGGTGGTTCTGATGAGCCCATGCTGGACATTGTCTCTATTGTTTAGACCTTATCTCTTAATTTTGCTGTATAAAACTGTACCTGGGCAGTGGCCCAGGGTCTTTTGTCCCTGCAACCGTTCAGGCAATACAATCTCTCTGGACCGCACACAACTGACCTCTCTTTGTCTCTTTATCTCGACTCCTTGCGGCGACCGAGGCGCACCGCTGCTGGGACCGTGCTAACCCAGCCACTGCCTGGTGAGCCCAGCGCAGCGGGACTGCGGCAAACCCCGGTCCCCTGAGGGGACAGCCAGCCAGAGGGGTCCCGGGGGGCCGGGGAGGGACGGGGGACAGCCACAAGTGACCCCCGAAAGCCGCATCCATGTAAATTTTCATTTTTCCATATTAAAAGCCAAACTGGTCAGAGACTCACTCCCAGGCCTGGAAGCTCATTCTGGGGTTGGCACGTCCATCCCGTGTACGCTTTTGGTTGGTGATGTGAGGCAGGAACTGGAAGCAGAAACACATCCCTGGGGATGGTGGGCTGAGGGGGGAGGGCAGAGGAGGATTGCTGGGCTTGTCTGCAGGGCCTTTATTTATCGCTGCCAAATGCACAGAAGTGATGCCAGCAACAGCGAGGGGAAGAGGGAGAGGGCAGGAGCCGGAGCCCACCCCGCAGGTGCCGCAGGATCTCCTCCCCGTGCCCCGCGGGTGGGGCAGGCTCAGCCCCACTCTCAGCGCCGAGAGCTGGGCTGGGAAGGGCTCTGGTTGTTGGAAGGACTTTTCCTAAAGGAGGGGAGGTCTCCTGAAGGAGGGGAGCACCTTCCTGCCCCCCGGCAGCAGCCCGCGGTGGCAGGGCAGCCGGGCCATGGCTCCTGGCTGCGGCACGTCGTGCTCCAGGAGGCTCCCGATCTTCAGGGCGGGCTGCAGAGCCCGGAGGGCGTCCAGTTCCTGCAGCAGGGCCTGGCTGAAGCCGTCCGTGCTCAGCCTGGGCGTGGAGGAGGCAGGAGAAGAGGAGAAGGTGCTGGAGCTTGTGGGGAGGTGTCAGAGTCCAGAGCATCCCTCTGGCTGCCCTGGATGACTCGAGCCCCTGGCAAAGAGCTCAGGAACCTTGGCAGCAAACGGAAAACACCTGTGGATTCGATTTTAGCCCGTGGGAGAGGCTGGCGAACTTACGTGAGGAATTACAAGCAAAAAGGGTTTGAATGATGTAATAAGGAAATTGACACAGGGTGGAAAAGTAGAATTTTGGGATTTGTTAGAATGGAATTCAGGGGTACAAGATGGAGGAACCTGGGCATGCTGAAATGAAAGATTTTCCAGAGATCACTTGAGCTAACAAAAAGAATGTATCAAAAATGAATGTATCAAAAGTGAATACATCAAAAATGAATGTATCATGTTTGTAGAATCATGTGTTGAATTTTAAGAAACCTCTGCACAAAAGGCATAAGAAAGAAAACAAAGATCTTTAAAGCTTCTTGCAGAAAGACAAATACCGGAAAAGACCAGGAATGCAAAGAATTCAGACAAGGAAGCCCCTCTGCCTCCAAACATGTCAAGGATGATGGACTTATCCAGATAAGATAGCAAAGGACTAAAAGCGCAAGCGCAGAGGAGAAGAGTTCAAAAGTTCAATGCAGAGGAAGATGATGGTTTGAGCCTCAAGGACCTCCAGGGACCCCCATAAAGGCCCCCACAAAAAACCACGCATGCCCAGAAGGGCCTGGACCTATTTAGCATGAGAGGCGAAGACAGGTGGGGCCAGGGGTTGAATATGCATAGAAAAGTTGTGTAATGTATTGAATATGGAACACCTTTGTGAATAAAATTGGGGGGCAAACTTCAGCTCGGGGCACAAGATTTCGGAGAGTTATCTCACTTGTGCTGGGCGCTGTCATACATACCCACTTCATAACTACATCAAGTTGTGGAGTCTATTTATTTATTCAGCGTATCGCTACAATGCCCTAGCTTCTTCTTCCTTCTTCTTGTCCTCCATGTCTTGCTGTGATAGTGACACTTTTCTATTGGTTTAGGATAGGGACACCTTGTCCAAAGTAGATTTGAGGTACTGGTACGGGAATTGTAAACACAGTAGATGTAATTTTGGGTCTATAATGTGGGAGCCCTCTGGGGACGAAAAGGAGACTGCCACGGCTGGACCTCGGCAGGTCAGAAAGAAACTCTTGTATATCAGGGAAAAAGAAACAACCTTGAAAAGTCGGCTTCACGCATTCTAGACCACTTCTTGAGCGGCCGGGCTAGGGAAAAAGGACTTTCACACTGTCGGGGTCCTTCCCAATTGAAATGAACGGGGTCTATGCCTTTATTATTAGTCAGCTCGGCAGGGGGCTCAACAAGGAGCTCGCCCTCGCAGTTGTAGCTTCTCCACTAGCCGAAGGGTGAGCAGGCGTGCAGAGTCTGTCCCTGGAGTCTCCGTGGCACGCTGGTAGCTGGAGGTGAAGAGGTGTGCAGTCCATATATGAAGTCCCAGCAGACAGTCCTCTCTCCTTTCCTCCTGCACACTGGTAGCCGCAGGGTGTGGGGATGTGCAGAGCCTGCTGCCGGAGTCCAGCAGCAGCTGTCCCTTTGCTCCTCCTCTGGTATCACCAGGAAGTGTGTGTTCCTTCGTGCCTGCTTCCCACAGCCCAGTCCAGTCTGGTCCTCTGTAGGTTATGGTGACAGGTCAAACACAGACTAGGGATGGGGTTCCCTTTTCCCCAACCAGCACACCCATCCAGCCCCCTCCACTGTGCCCATCTTTTGCATTTAAGGGTGTTTTTCATCCCCAAAACCCCCTCCCATGATTCCACTGGATTATTTTGCATCCCAGTCCTAGAATGGTAGTGAGGGTGGGGGGAGGTAGGTGATTCCCAGGAACAATTAGCTAATTAACATTTCAATGTCAGTACTTAGCCCAAGCCAAGTGTCCCAGCCAGGCTGTTTTGTTCATAACACCAGTGACCCCGACAGGGAGGGAGGTGCCGAGCCAGGCTGGATGCCGCTGCGGCCCTGCCTGTCCCGCAGCCTGCGCTGCCCGGCTCGGGAATGCCGGGCACGGAAGGGAAGGTGGCAGGGCCCTCACTCAGCGCAGGCTCCGCAGCGGGCAGGCGGGATGCCGGAGCTGCTGGCAGAGCTGCAGGACGCCGTGGGCTCCCAGCTCGTTGTCACTCCGGCCCGGGCAGGTGAGACGGGGCCCCTGCAGCAGCCGCGCAGCCGGGGCTGGGCAGGAGGCGCCCGCCAGCCGGCAGCTGCCCGGCCTGTGGGAGCTGGGAAACAGGCAAGGAGGGCTTTGGCCTCGGCTCCCTCGGCTGCTGCAGGTGGGAAGGGCGGAGCAGCGGCTGAGGTCCTGGCAGCAGCAGGGGCTGGTGAGGCGGCAAGAGCGCAGCCCGACCAGAGCCCTCGGGAAAGAAGCTCCGAGCCCACCGCGGGCCCGCGGAGGTATCCGTGGGGTCGGAGAGCTCCTGTCCCCTGTGGCCGGGGCAGCAGCCGCCCACCCGCCCAGGCCGCCGGCGCTGCCCTCCTGTGTCAGCCCGCAGCGCCCTGGCCCGGTGCGGGCTCGGCGCGGTGCGGGCGTGTGTGAGCGGAGCAGCCCCGGACAGCGCCCGGTGCCGCAGTGCCCGGCAGCGCGGGGGGATGGGGCAGGGCAGCTCCCGCCGCCGCCGCGGAGAGGGACCGGGACGTGCTGCCCGTGGGGAATCGCTGCGGTGCCGCCGGGTGGGGAGCAGCGGCAGTTCCCGCTGCTCCGTCTGCTCCGGGGGGAGCCCGGGACGAGAGTCCGGGAAGTTCGGGTCGATCGCGTAAGGAAGGGTCGGGGAAAGCGGGATCCCGGCCAGGTGCGGGACCCCCTGAGAGTGACAGCGGGATACGGGGATCAGGAGGAAGAGAGACTTTAGTGTGAATTTTTTTTGTTGCTTGCAATGTGAGGGGGTCAAAGCCCTTTTATATTTCCTGGGACAGCCTTGGGAGGAAGCACTTGGGGTCGTTTCTGTATTCCTGCGGTAGCAGCCAGTGGATTTAGGGAGGGAGAGAAAGGCGACTGTGCCATGGGAAAGCTGGGCTGAAAGGGGTGAGGGAACGTGAGGCGTGGATGTCGGAGCGGGTGTTCCGGGAAGCTCCGGGGCCAGCGTGAGTGAGAGGAGCCGCAGCTGGAAGGGGCGTCGGTGCCCGCGGTGCGAGTGGATCCGTGCGTGGGGAAAGCGGCGGCAGGGAGTGCGGTGCAGGGTGAGAGCGGGCAGTTCGCTGCGGAGCGCGGCTGCCGAGACGCAGGGGCCGGAGCGGCGGGGCAGAGGCGGCGGAGCGGCGGCGTTATCGGCGGCAGCGCGGGCGTCGGGAGGCGCGTGCGGTCGCCGGCGCCGCCGGGAGCCGCCGGGGGGTGACCGCCTCCTTCCTGCCCTGGCGGCGAGGCGAGCGCGGGGCCGCAGCCGCGGCAGCAGCGCCATGTGCCAGCGCCGCCGCGAGGGACCGGGGAGCTGGCACCTGGCAGCGCCGCGCGGGGCCGGGGGCTGCTGCCACCCCCCGCGGGGGCTGCGAGCTGCCGGGAGGGGAGCGCCCCGAGCGTGGGGCCTTTGAACTTCGCAGGTGCCCGAGCTAGATGTGGTCCCGCGGAAGGTGTCGGTAGGATGTGGGCTGAAGGCTGTCGTCGCCGCCAGGACGGCTCTTGTCGGGCTCCAGCAGCACCGTTGGAGGCCCGGGGATGGAGGCAGGGCCCCCGCGGGGCAGGTGCAGTGGGGGGGCTGTCTCCCCCCGGGGACATCCGGGTGGCAGCCCACTGTGGCGAAGCGTGTGACGCCAGAAGCGCAGGCGAGGCTCATATTTGGGCACGGAGCAGGTTATTGGAGGCCGCGGCCCCGCAGCCGAGAGATGAGGCGCCTGATAAAGGCTGCCCCGGTGCTGCTGCCTGCGTTGGCTCGGGCGCAGGCCTGAGGGAGCTGCCCCGGCTGCGCCGGCTCGGGGCCGGTGCCGTGGGGCCGGTGGCGTGGGGCCGGTGGCCATGGGGCCGGTGGCGGCGCTGGGGCTGCTGCTGTGCGTGCGGCTGTGTGCGGGTGAGTGGCGGCGGGCGGGAGCGGGGCCCGCGGCGGTGGCGGGCCCGGCTCAGCAGCCCCCGTGCCGCAGGCTCCGGGCAGCTGCGTCTGGTGGGCGGCGGCGGGCGCTGTGCCGGGCGCGTGGAGGTGGAGCACGGCGGTGAGTGGGGCTCCGTGTGCGTCTTCGACTTCCACTGGGACGCTCGCTTGGCCGAGGTGGTGTGCCGGCTGCTGGGCTGTGGCCGGGTGGCCAGGGCGTCCCCGTACGCCCCGTTCGGGCAGGGCACCGGGCGGATCTGGCTGCAGCCCTTCTTCTGCCGAGGAGGTGAGAATGCGCTGGAGGAGTGTCCGCACTTTGGATGGGGACGGCACTTCTGCGGCCACGACCGGGATGTGGGGGTGACCTGCACAGGTGAGGGGACACGCTGGCCGTGCAGGGACCGGCACGTTGTGCTGGAGCATCCTGGGCAGGTCTGAGCCGTGCCGGTGCCCCTGTGCAGATGCCGTGGAGCTGAGGCTGGTGGGCGGCAGCAGTCCCTGTGCCGGGAGGGTGGAGGTGAAGCTGCAGGGACAGTGGGGCTCGGTGGGAGACAACGACTGGGACATGGAGGACACCGAGGTGGTTTGCCAGCAGCTGGGCTGTGGCTCGGCTTCCAAAGCCTACTATGCCCGTGACACCTTCGGTCTAGGGGGCTGGCTCGTCAGTCTGGCCAGGGTGGACTGCGGTGGGTACGAGGCCACGCTCTGGGACTGCAAGATCCGTGGCTGGGGACCCTATAAATTCTTCAACCATTACTGGGACACAGCTGTTGTCTGCCAAGGTAGGAGCTGGGCTTATGGGGGCACGGGGCACTGCCTGCGCATCCCTTGACACTGGTCCTGCAGGATTCTCCCGGCTAGTCGGAGGTGATGGAGCCTGTGCCGGGCGTCTGGAGGTGCGTCGGGGCCGGGCCTGGGTCGGTGTCTGTGAGGATCAGGTGGACATGAAGGCGGCCCAGGTGGTGTGCAGGGAGCTGGGCTGCGGTGAGGCGCTCGCCATTCCTGGCAGCGCTCGATTTGGGAGAGGATCAGGGTCATTCTGGGACGGTGGCTTCCAGTGCAATGGCACCGAGTCCCTGCTCAGTGCGTGTGCCCGGCGTCTGCCCCTCAGCCAGGCCTGCGCCGGCCCTGCCAGCGTCATCTGCTCCGGTAAGTGCTGGGGACGGCGGGAGCTGTTGGGGTCCCTGCGGCATGGCCCCCCTGACCGCTGTTCGTGCCGCAGCCTACACGGGCTTCCGGCTGGGGAACAGCAGCTCGGGATGCTCCGGGCGAGTGGAGGTGGCAGTGAGGGGGACGTGGGGATCCGTGTGCGCCAGCGAGTGGGACCTGGCCGATGCGCACGTCCTGTGCCGCCACCTGGGCTGCGGCCGCGCCTCCAGCGTGCCCCCGGGAGGCTCCTTCGGCAGCGGGGAGGGGACACTGCGGCCGGACGCCTTCGGCTGCCACGGGAGCGAGCGGCACCCGGGCGAGTGCCCCGTGGCCGTGCTGGGGAAGCCGCCCTGTGTGCCCGGAAACGCCGCCGCCGTCAACTGCTCAGGTGTGCAAGGCGGCTCTGCGAGGAGCCTTAAGGGCTTTTGGGAGCCTGCTAAGAATTGGCAGCAGTGGATGCCGGATATATTTTGGACTGAAGTTCCATCTGAGGCAGGTGCTACAGCTCCGTGGCTCTGCTGCTGAATTTGCAGGTGCTGGCTTTGTCACGACCCTGCGGCTGGTGGATGGTCAGAGCTTGTGTGATGGGCGGCTGGAGGAGGCCATAACCAGCCCAGCCTGGCGCCGTGTGCCGCTGGAGCAGTGGAAGTCATGGGATGTCAACGTGGTATGTTCCGTGCTGGGCTGTGGCCAAGCCAGGGATGTTTACTCTGCCTTGGGTACGGCTGCTGCATTGAGCAGCAGCCCCAGCCTGGTGGACATCAGGACTGAAGAGATGGACGGCGTTTTGGACGTGGGCTCTGCACTGACCGGCAGCCCTGAGGAGATGGATGACCAGCTGGAGGAGAGGGGCAATGTCTCAGGGATGGGCCCTGCGCTGAACAGCAGCGTGGAGGAGATGGCCATCACCTGCTCAGGTGGGTGTCCCGAGAAGGGCCAGAGGTGCGGGTGCCCCAAGCAGCCCCCCCAGCCCATTCCTTCCCGGCCCACAGGCAGCCGGCAGGTGAGGCTGGCGGGGAGCTCGGGGCGCTGTGCCGGGCGCGTGGAGGTCTATTCCGGGGGCAGCTGGAGCTCCGTCTGCCAGGAAGGCTGGGAGCTGCAGGACGCCGCCGTTGTCTGCCGGGAGCTGGGCTGTGGCACGGCACTGGAGGCCCCGAGCCGGGCGCGCTTCGGTGCCGGCACGGGGCCGCTGTGGCCGTACGTGCCCGACTGCTCCGGCTCCGAGGAGTCTCTCTGGGAATGCGGGCGCACGGAACGGCGCGAGTGCGGGCGCGGTGGCGGGGCAGGGGCCGTCTGCTCAGGTCGGTGCCGGGCACCCCAAGGTCAGGGCCCGGCAGAGGCCCCGGGGGGTTCCCGGCCGTGCCGTGACCCCCCCGCACCCCTTGCAGAGCAGCTCTCGGTGCGGCTGGCAGGAGGCCCTGGGCGCTGCCGGGGGTACCTGGAGGTGTCCTACAACGGCACCTGGGGCCGCGTCTGCGCCAACGGCACCAGCACCGACACCGGCACCGCCGTCTGCCGCCAGCTGGGCTGTGGGCACCGGGGCTGGCTCTCGGCTGTCCCCACCCAGCAGCCGTCCCTGGCGTGGCTGGCCTGGGTGGGCTGTGAGGACGGGGCCCGCTCGCTCTGGGAGTGCCCCTCGGCCCCCTGGCACCTGCAGAGCTGTGGCACCGGCGGCTACGCCCAAGTGGAGTGTGAGGAGGACGGCGATGGCACCTCTGAGAGACGCACTACCCCATATCCGGAGGGTGCCACCAGCACAGGTAGCTCTGCCCGTGCCTGCATCCCCCACCGCAGGCTGGCTGGGATCCCCCTCCCCTCACTGCCTGCCTGTGTCCCCACAGGTGTCCCCAGCAGATCGCCCTCAGCAGTGGCCGTGGGGACTGTGCCTGTGCCCACTGTGCTGTGCGTGGTGCTGGGGACGCTGCTGTGCCTGTCCCTGGGTGCCCTGGCCCTGCTGCTGTGCCGTGCCCGTGCCCGGCGCCGAGGTGGGTCCCGGTGGATGGGGGTGGGGACAGATCCGGTCTGGGGTCCAGAGGCTCCTGTCCTGTGGAACAGCTCTGAAGGTGGCCGGGGTGATCCCTGTGCCACCCACAGGGCCCAGGGCCCCAGGTAAGTGCTGCATCTGGTTCCAGGCCCTGGCAGAGCTGCAGATGCCATCTCCAACGCTGTCTACGAGGAGCTGGATTACAAAGCCGTGCCAGAGTACCAGGAGGTGCCCACTCCCCCAGGTGGGTGCCGCCCTTGTGCCCCGGCTGTGCTCGGAGTGAAGGCTCTGCCTGACAGCCCCACGGCACCTCCGGGTCCTGGTGGCCCTGCTGTGGCTCCTGGCCATGGGCTGTGGGTGCCCCTGGGTGCCACAGCAGCCCCGCTCTGTAGCGTGAGGTTCTGTCACCTGCGGAGCCGCTTGTGGCCACCCCCAAGTCCCTGTTTGTCCCCTGCAGGTTCCCTGTCGGAGGGACGGGTGAAGAAGCTGCCGTATTACACCGGGGACAGCGTGGAGGGGAGTGACACCGAGGCAGCCCCAGGTAGGGCCACAGGGCAGGAGCCCAGCAGGGAGAGCTGGGGACAGGGGGCACACCCAGGCTGGGGGGCTGAGGGGACAAATCCTTCCCCCCTTGTTAGTGTGCAGAGAGACATCGCCTTTCCCTGTGGGACCACAGGGCCAACAGCAGCTGCCCAGTGGAAAGGCTGGCGAGGGTGGCACAGCCAGAGCCCTGCCAGGGACACTGGTCACTGCCATGGACCCCTCTGATTTTCCCAGATCCCCCTGCCCGGCCCGAGCAAGGAACCCCGGAGGGCTACGACGATGTCCTGGATGTGCCACAGGAGGCCCCTGCTCCCAGCACTGGGGACATCTCTGAGGGAGTGGCACGGCAGAAATCGATCTGTGTCCTCCCCACAGGTGAGAGGGCTCACAGCTGCCCTGTCCCCTCTGCAGAGCCACTCCAGGGCAGGGTTTGTGTGTGGGGGCAGGCAGGGCCCCAGCACAGATCCATGGGTGCTGTGCTCTGACCCCCGGTGGGGTCCGTCAGGGGGGACAGGGAGCTGCCTGCCCCTCAGGCACCTTTCCGTGCTGTCCCCAAGGTGGGATCTGCTCCCCTCCATGTCCCCCAGGAGCAACAACAGACTTCTCAGATCCGAGCCCAGGGAACACGGACTATGATGATGTGGGCAGCAGCGCCCCGGCGACACTGCCATGAGGATGTCCTGGCCATGCCACAGCCCAGGGGACACGTGTGTGGCAGTGCGGTGGGGCCCTGTGCCCAGGGAGGTCTGGCCCTGCCCATGGAAGTCATCCCTCGCTGTGCAGCGCTGCAGGAAAGCAGCTCCTGTGTAGGGATTTCCTTTGATTTCAGTTTAAATTTCCATTTTTCCTTATTAAAAGCCAAACTGGTCAGAAACTCACTCCCATGCCTGGAAGCTCATTCTGGGGCTGGCACTTCCATCCCATGTACGCTTTTGGTTGGCGATGTGAGGCAGGAACTGGAAGCAGAAACACATCCCTGGGGATGGTGGGCTGAGGGGGGAGGGCAGAGGAGGATTGCTGGGCTTGTCTGCAGGGCCTTTATTTATCGCTGCCAAATGCACAGAAGCGATGCCAGCAACAGCGAGGGGAAAAGGGAGAGGGCAGGAGCCGGAGCCCACCCCGCAGGTGCCGCAGGATCTCCTCCCCGTGCCCCGCGGGTGGGGCAGGCTCAGCCCCACTCTCAGCGCCGAGAGCTGGGCTGGGAAGGGCTCTGGTTGTTGGAAGGACTTTTCCTAAAGGAGGGGAGGTCTCCTGAAGGAGGGGAGCGCCTTCCTGCCCCCCGGCAGCAGCCCGCGGTGGCAGGGCAGCCGGGCCATGGCCCCTGGCTGCGGCACGTCGTGCTCCAGGAGGCTCCCGATCTTCAGGGCGGGCTGCAGAGCCCGGAGGGCGTCCAGTTCCTGCAGCAGGGCCTGGCTGAAGCCGTCCGTGCTCAGCCTGGGCGTGGAGGAGGCAGGAGAAGAGGAGAAGGTGCTGGAGCTTGTGGGGAGGTGTCAGAGTCCAGAGCATCCCTCTGGCTGCCCTGGATGACTCGAGCCCCTGGCAAAGAGCCCAGGAACCTTGGCAGCAAACGGAAAACACCTGTGGATTCGATTTTAGCCCGTGGGAGAGGCTGCCGATCTTACATGAGGAATTAAAAGCAAAAAGGGTTTGAATGATGTAATAAGGAAATTGACACAGGGTGGAAAAGTAGAATTTTGGGATTTGTTAGAATGGAATTCAGGGGTACAAGATGGAGGAACCTGGGCATGCCCTAGCTTCTTCTTCCTTCTTCTTGTCCTCCATGTCTTGCTGTGGTAGTGACACTTTTCTATTGGTTTAGGATAGGGACACCTTGTCCAAAGTAGATTTTAGGTATTGGTACGGGAATTGTAAACACGGTACACGTAATTTTGAGTATATACCGTGGGAGCCGCCTGGGGCGGGAAGGAGACTGCCACGGCTTCTGTGCTAGCTGGACCTCGGCAGGTCAGAAAGAAACTCTTGTAGATAAGGGAAAATAAACAACCTTGAAAAGTCGGCTTCACGCATTCCAGACCTCTTCTTCAGCGGCCGGGCTAGGGAAAAAGGACTTTCACACTGTCGGGGTCTTGCCCAGTGACCCCGACAGGGAGGGAGGTGCCGAGCCAGGCTGGATGCCGCTGCGGCCCTGCCTGTCCCGCAGCCTGCGCTGCCCGGCTCGGGAATGGCGGGCACGGAAGGGAAGGTGGCAGGGCCCTCACTCAGCGCAGGCTCCGCAGCGGGCAGGCGGGATGCCGGAGCTGCTGGCAGAGCTGCAGGACGCCGTGGGTTCCCAGCTCGTTGTCACTCCGGCCCGGGCAGGTGAGACGGGGCCCCTGCAGCAGCCGCGCAGCCGGGGCTGGGCAGGAGGCGCCCGCCAGCCGGCAGCTGCCCGGCCTGTGGGAACTGGGAAACAGGGAAGGAGGATGTCGTGGTTTGACACGGAAAAAGAATTTTTCCGCAAGGAAGAGGTCAATTTTGACATTGGCCAATTGAAGGTAGGCAGCAGCAGGGGCTGGTGAGGCGGCAAGAGCGCAGCCCGACCAGAGCCCTCGGGAAAGAAGCTCCGAGCCCACCGCGGGCCCGCGGAGGTATCCGTGGGGTCGGAGAGCTCCTGTCCCCTGTGGCCGGGGCAGCAGCCGCCCACCCGCCCAGGCCGCCGCCGCTGCCCTCCTGTGTCGGCCCGCAGCGCCCTGGCCCGGTGCGGGCTCGGCGCGGTGCGGGCGTGTGTGAGCGGAGCAGCCCCGGACAGCGCCCGGTGCCGCAGTGCCCGGCAGCGCGGGGGGATGGGGCAGGGCAGCTCCCGCCGCCGCCGCGGCGAGGGACCGGGACGTGCTGCCCGTGGGGAATCGCTGCGGTGCCGCCGGGTGGGGAGCAGCGGCAGTTCCCGCTGCTCCGTCTGCTCCGGGGGGAGCCCGGGACGAGAGTCCGGGAAGTTCGGGTCGATCGCGTAAGGAAGGGTCGGGGAAAGCGGGATCCCGGCCAGGTGAGGGACCCCCTGAGAGTGACAGCGGGATACGGGGATCAGGAGGAAGAGAGACTTTAGTGTGGATTTTTTTGGTGCTTGTAATGTGAGGGGGTCAAAGCTCTTTTATATTTCCTGGGACAGCCTTGGGAGGAAGCACTTGAGGTCGTTTCTGTATTCCTGCGGTAGCAGCCAGTGGGTTTAGGGAGGGAGGGAAAGGCGACTGTGCCATGGGAAAGCTGGGCTGAAAGGGGTGAGGGAACGTGAGGTGTGGATGTCGGAGCGGGTGTTCCGGGCAGCTCCGGGGCCAGCGTGAGTGAGAGGAGCCGCAGCTGGAAGGGGCGTCGGTGCCCGCGGTGCGAGTGGATCCGTGCGTGGGGAAAGCGGCGGCAGGGAGTGCGGTGCAGGGTGAGAGCGGGCAGTTCGCTGCGGAGCGCGGCTGCCGAGCCGCAGGGGCCGGAGCGGCGGGGCAGGGGCGGCGGAGCGGCGGCGTTATCGGCGGCAGCGCGGGCGTCGGGAGGCGCGTGCGGTCGCCGGCGCCGCCGGGAGCCGCCGCGGGGTGACCGCCTCCTTCCTGCCCTGGCGGCGAGGCGAGCGCGGGGCCGCAGCCGCGGCAGCAGCGCCATGTGCCAGCGCCGCCGCGAGGGACCGGGGAGCTGGCACCTGGCAGCGCCGCGCGGGGCCGGGGGCTGCTGCCACCCCCCGCGGGGGCTGCGAGCTGCCGGGAGGGGAGCGCCCCGAGCGTGGGGCCTTTGAACTTCGCAGGTGCCCGAGCTAGATGTGGTCCCGCGGAAGGTGTCGGTAGGATGTGGGCTGAAGGCTGTCGTCGCCGCCAGGACGGCTCTTGTCGGGCTCCAGCAGCACCGTTGGAGGCCCGGGGGATGGAGGCAGGGCCCCCGCGGGGCAGGTGCAGTGGGGGGGCTGCCTCCCCCCGGGGACATCCGGGTGGCAGCCCACTGTGGCGAAGCGTGTGACGCCAGAAGCGCAGGCGAGGCTCATATTTGGGCACGGAGCAGGTTATTGGAGGCCGCGGCCCCGCAGCCGGGAGATGAGGCGCCTGATAAAGGCTGCCCCGGTGCTGCTGCCTGCGTTGGCTCGGGCGCAGGCCTGAGGGAGCTGCCCCGGCTGCGCCGGCTCGGGGCCGGTGCCGTGGGGCCGGTGCCGTGGGGCCGGTGGCCATGGGGCCGGTGGCGGCGCTGGGGCTGCTGCTGTGCGTGCGGCTGTGTGCGGGTGAGTGGCGGCGGGCGGGAGCGGGGCCCGCGGCGGTGGCGGGCCCGGCTCAGCAGCCCCCGTGCCGCAGGCTCCGGGCAGCTGCGTCTGGTGGGCGGCGGCGGGCGCTGTGCCGGGCGCGTGGAGGTGGAGCACGGCGGTGAGTGGGGCTCCGTGTGCCTCTTTGAACACGACTGGGAAGCTCGCTGGGCCGCGGTGGTGTGCCGGCTGCTGGGCTGTGGCCGGGTGGCCAGGGCGTCCCCGTACGCCCCGTTCGGGCAGGGCACCGGGCGGATCTGGCTGCAGCCCTTCTTCTGCAGAGGAGTTGAGAGTGCGCTGGAGGAGTGTACCCACTTTGGATGGGGACGGCACTTCTGCGGCCACGACCGGGATGTGGGGGTGACCTGCACAGGTGAGGGGACACGCTGGCCGTGCAGGGACAGGCACGTTGTGCTGGAGCATCCTGGGCAGGTCTGAGCCGTGCCGGTGCCCCTGTGCAGATGCCGTGGAGCTGAGGCTGGTGGGCGGCAGCAGTCCCTGTGCCGGGAGGGTGGAGGTGAAGCTGCAGGGACAGTGGGGCTCGGTGGCAGACGGCGATTGGGACATGGAGGACGCCGAGGTGGTTTGCCAGCAGCTGGGCTGTGGCTCGGCTTCCAAAGCCTACTACGCCCGTGACACCTTCGGCATAGGGAATGGGCTCGTCAGCTTGGTCCTGGTGGACTGCAGGGGGGACGAGGCCACGCTCTGGGACTGCGAGATCCGTGGCTGGGGACCCTATAACAGCAGTGACCATTATTGGGACACGGCTGTTGTCTGCCAAGGTAGGAGCTGGGCTTATGGGGGCACGGGGCACTGCCTGCGCATCCCTTGACACTGGTCCTGCAGGATTCTCCCGGCTAGTCGGAGGTGATGGAGCCTGTGCCGGGCGTCTGGAGGTGCGTCGGGGCCGGGCCTGGGTCGGTGTCTGTGAGGATCAGGTGGACATGAAGGCGGCCCAGGTGGTGTGCAGGGAGCTGGGCTGCGGTGAGGCGCTCGCCATCCCTGGCAGCGCTCGATTTGGGAGAGGATCAGGGTCATTCTGGGACGGTGGCTTCCAGTGCAATGGCACCGAGTCCCTGCTCAGTGCGTGTGCCCGGCGTCTGCCCCTCAGCCAGGCCTGCGCCGGCCCTGCCAGCGTCATCTGCTCCGGTAAGTGCTGGGGACGGCGGGAGCTGTTGGGGTCCCTGCGGCATGGCCCCCCTGACCGCTGTTCGTGCCGCAGCCTACACGGGCTTCCGGCTGGGGAACAGCAGCTCGGGATGCTCCGGGCGAGTGGAGGTGGCAGTGAGGGGGACGTGGGGATCCGTGTGCGCCAGCGAGTGGGACCTGGCCGATGCGCACGTCCTGTGCCGCCACCTGGGCTGCGGCCGCGCCTCCAGCGTGCCCCCGGGAGGCTCCTTCGGCAGCGGGGAGGGGACACTGCGGCCGGACGCCTTCGGCTGCCACGGGAGCGAGCGGCACCCGGGCGAGTGCCCCGTGGCCGTGCTGGGGAAGCCGCCCTGTGTGCCCGGAAACGCCGCCGCCGTCAAGTGCTCAGGTGTGCAAGGCGGCTCTGCGAGGAGCCTTAAGGGCTTTTGGGAGCCTGCTAAGAATTGGCAGCAGTGGATGCCGGATATATTTTGGACTGAAGTTCCATCTGAGGCAGGTGCTACAGCTCCGTGGCTCTGCTGCTGAATTTGCAGGTGCTGGCTTTGTCACGACCCTGCGGCTGGTGGATGGTCAGAGCTTGTGTGATGGGCGGCTGGAGGAGGCCATAACCAGCCCAGCCTGGCGCCGTGTGCCGCTGGAGCAGTGGAAGTCATGGGATGTCAACGCGGTATGTTCCGTGCTGGGCTGTGGCCAAGCCAGGGATGTTTACTCTGCCTTGGGTACGGCTGCTGCATTGAGCAGCAGCCCCAGCCTGGTGGACATCCGGACTGAAGAGATGGACGGCGTTTTGGACGTGGGCTCTGCACTGACCGGCAGCCCTGAGGAGATGGATGACCAGCTGGAGGAGATGGGAGATGTCTCAGGGATGGGCCCTGCGCTGAACAGCAGCGTGGAGGAGATGGCCATCACCTGCTCAGGTGGGTGTCCCGAGAAGGGCCAGAGGTGCGGGTGCCCCAAGCAGCCCCCCCAGCCCATTCCTTCCCGGCCCACAGGCAGCCGGCAGGTGAGGCTGGCGGGGAGCTCGGGGCGCTGTGCCGGGCGCGTGGAGGTCTATTCCGGGGGCAGCTGGAGCTCCGTCTGCCAGGAAGGCTGGGAGCTGCAGGACGCCGCCGTTGTCTGCCGGGAGCTGGGCTGTGGCACGGCACTGGAGGCCCCGAGCCGGGCGCGCTTCGGTGCCGGCACGGGGCCGCTGTGGCCGTACGTGCCCGACTGCTCCGGCTCCGAGGAGTCTCTCTGGGAATGCGGGCGCACGGAACGGCGCGAGTGCGGGCGCGGTGGCGGGGCAGGGGCCGTCTGCTCAGGTCGGTGCCGGGCACCCCAAGGTCAGGGCCCGGCAGAGGCCCCGGGGGGTTCCCGGCCGTGCCGTGACCCCCCCGCACCCCTTGCAGAGCAGCTCTCGGTGCGGCTGGCAGGAGGCCCTGGGCGCTGCCGGGGGTACCTGGAGGTGTCCTACAACGGCACCTGGGGCCGCGTCTGCGCCGACGGCACCAGCACCGACACCGGCACCGCCGTCTGCCGCCAGCTGGGCTGTGGGGACCGGGGCTGGCTCTCGGCTGTCCCCACCCAGCAGCCGTCCCTGGCGTGGCTGGCCTGGGTGGGCTGTGAGGACGGGGCCCGCTCGCTCTGGGAGTGCCCCTCGGCCCCCTGGCACCTGCAGAGCTGTGGCACCGGCGGCTACGCCCAAGTGGAGTGTGAGGAGGACGGCGATGGCACCTCTGAGGGACGCACTACCCCATATCCGGAGGGTGCCACCAGCACAGGTAGCTCTGCCCGTGCCTGCATCCCCCACCGCAGGCTGGCTGGGATCCCCCTCCCCTCACTGCCTGCCTGTGTCCCCACAGGTGTCCCCAGCAGATCGCCCTCAGCAGTGGCCGTGGGGACTGTGCCTGTGCCCACTGTGCTGTGCGTGGTGCTGGGGACGCTGCTGTGCCTGTCCCTGGGTGCCCTGGCCCTGCTGCTGTGCCGTGCCCGTGCCCGGCGCCGAGGTGGGTCCCGGTGGATGGGGGTGGGGACAGATCCGGTCTGGGCGTCCAGAGGCTCCTGTCCTGTGGAACAGCTCTGAAGGTGGCCGGGGTGATCCCGGTGCCACCCACAGGGCCCAGGGCCCCAGGTAAGTGCTGCATCTGGTTCCAGGCCCTGGCAGAGCTGCAGATGCCATCTCCAACGCTGTCTACGAGGAGCTGGATTACAAAGCCGTGCCAGAGTACCAGGAGGTGCCCACTCCCCCAGGTGGGTGCCGCCCTTGTGCCCCGGCTGTGCTCGGAGTGAAGGCTCTGCCTGACAGCCCCACGGCACCTCCGGGTCCTGGTGGCCCTGCTGTGGTTCCTGGCCATGGGCTGTGGGTGTCCCTGGGTGCCACAGCGGCCCCGCTCTGTAGCGTGAGGTTCTGTCAGCTGCGGAGCCGCTTGTGGCCACCCCCAAGTCCCTGTTTGTCCCCTGCAGGTTCCCTGTCGGAGGGACGGGTGAAGAAGCTGCCGTATTACACCGGGGACAGCGTGGAGGGGAGTGACACCGAGGCAGCCCCAGGTAGGGCCACAGGGCAGGAGCCCAGCAGGGAGAGCTGGGGACAGGGGGCACACCCAGGCTGGGGGGCTGAGGGGACAAATCCTTCCCCCCTTGTTAGTGTGCAGAGAGACATCGCCTTTCCCTGTGGGACCACAGGGCCTCCAGCAGCTGCCCAGTGGAAAGGCTGGCGAGGGTGGCACAGCCAGAGCCCTGCCAGGGACACTGGTCACTGCCATGGACCCCTCTGATTTTCCCAGATCCCCCTGCCCGGCCCGAGCAAGGAACCCCGGAGGGCTACGACGATGTCCTGGATGTGCCACAGGAGGCCCCTGCTCCCAGCACTGGGGACATCTCTGAGGGAGTGACACGGCAGAAATCGATCTGTGTCCTCCCCACAGGTGAGAGGGCTCACAGCTGCCCTGTCCCCTCTGCAGAGCCACTCCAGGGCAGGGTTTGTGTGTGGGGGCAGGCAGGGCCCCAGCACAGATCCATGGGTGCTGTGCTCTGACCCCCGGTGGGGTCCGTCAGGGGGGACAGGGAGCTGCCTGCCCCTCAGGCACCTTTCCGTGCTGTGCCCAAGGTGGGATCTGCTCCCCTCCATGTCCCCCAGGAGCAACAACAGACTTCTCAGATCCGAGCCCTGGGAACACGGACTATGATGATGTGGGCAGCAGCGCCCCGGCGACACTGCCATGAGGATGTCCTGGCCATGCCACAGCCCTGGGGACACGTGTGTGGCAGTGCGGTGGGGCCCTGTGCCCAGGGAGGTCTGGCCCTGCCCATGGAAGTCATCCCTCGCTGTGCAGCGCTGCAGGAAAGCAGCTCCTGTGTAGGGATTTCCTTTGATTTCTGTTTGTTGCTATCGCACTGGCGCGGTAGTGTGGTCGAAGGGATTTAGAAAGGCCTTGGGAATTGGAAACTGAGGTAAAGATACATTTAGGTAGGAGGAAAAGATACACTTATGTATGCTCCATTGTTTCGGGAAAGTTTCGCTTCAGTATTTTTCTGTAAACCCCCTTCTACCCACCCCTGAGCAGTTCCCATTGGACCTGACCCCTGGGGTGGTTCTGATGAGCCCATGCTGGACATTGTCTCTATTGTTTAGACCTTATCTCTTAATTTTGCTGTATAAAACTGTATCTGGGCAGTGGCCCAGGGTCTTTTGTCCCTGCAACCGTTCAGGCAATACAATCTCTCTGGACCGCACACAACTGACCTCTCTTTGTCTCTTTATCTCGACTCCTTGCGGCGACCGAGGCGCACCGCCGCTGGGACCGTGCTAACCCAGCCGCTGCCTGGTGAGCCCAGTGCAGCGGGACCGCGGCAAACCCCGGTCCCCTGAGGGGACAGCCAGCCAGAGGGGTCCCGGGGGGCCGGGGAGGGACGGGGGACAGCCACAAAGATCCCCTGAAAGCCGCATCCATGTAAATTTCCATTTTTTCCTATTAAGAGCCAAACTGGTCAGAGATTCACTCCCAGGCCTGGAAGCTCATTCTGGGGCTGGCACTTCCATCCCATGTACGCTTTTGGTTGGCGATGTGAGGCAGGAACTGGAAGCAGAAACACATCCCTGGGGATGGTGGGCTGAGGGGGGAGGGCAGAGGAGGATTGCTGGGCTTGTCTGCAGGGCCTTTATTTATCGCTGCCAAATGCACAGAAGCGATGCCAGCAACAGCGAGGGGAAAAGGGAGAGGGCAGGAGCCGGAGCCCACCCCGCAGGTGCCGCAGGATCTCCTCCCCGTGCCCCGCGGGTGGGGCAGGTTCAGCCCCACTCTCAGCGCCGAGAGCTGGGCTGGGAAGGGCTCTGGTTGTTGGAAGGACTTTTCCTAAAGGAGGGGAGGTCTCCTGAAGGAGGGGAGCGCCTTCCTGCCCCCCGGCAGCAGCCCGAGGTGGCAGGGCGGCTGGGCCATGGCCCCTGGCTGCGGCACGTCGTGCTCCAGGAGGCTCCCGATCTTCAGGGCGGGCTGCAGAGCCCGGAGGGCGTCCAGTTCCTGCAGCAGGGCCTGGCTGAAGCCGTCCGTGCTCAGCCTGGGCGTGGAGGAGGCAGGAGAAGAGGAGAAGGTGCTGGAGCTTGTGGGGAGGTGTTGGAGTCCAGAGCATCCCTCTGGCTGCCCTGGATGACTCTGGCAAAGAGCTCAGGAACCTTGGCAGCAAACGGAAAACACCTGTGGATTCCAGTTTAGCCCGTGGGAGAGGCTGCCGACCTTACAAGAGGAATTACAAGCAAAAAGGGTTTGAATGATGTAATAAGGAAATTGACACAGAGTGGAAAAGTAGAATTTTGGGATTTGTTAGAATGGAATTCAGGGGTACAAGATGGAGGAACCTGGGCGTGCCCTAGCTTCTTCCTTCTTCTTGTCCTCCATGTCTTGCTGTGATAGTGACACTTTTCTATTGGTTTAGGATAGGGACACCTTGTCCAACGTAGATTTTAGGTATTGGTACGGGAATTGTAAACATGGTACATATAATTTTGGGTGTATACCGTGGGAGCCGCCTGGGGCGGGAAGGAGACTGCCACGGCTTCTGTGCTAGCTGGACCTCGGCAGGTCAGAAAGAAACTCTTGTAGATAAGGAAAAAGAAACAACCTTGAAAAGTCGGCTTCACGCATTCCAGACCTCTTCTTGAGCGGCCGGGCTAGGGAAAAAGGACTTTCACACTGTCGGGGTCTTGCCCAGTGACCCCGACAGGGAGGGAGGTGCCGAGCCAGGCTGGATGCCGCTGCGGCCCTGCCTGTCCCGCAGCCTGCGCTGCCCGGCTCGGGAATGGCGGGCACGGAAGGGAAGGTGGCAGGGCCCTCACTCAGCGCAGGCTCCGCAGCGGGCAGGCGGGATGCCGGAGCTGCTGGCAGAGCTGCAGGACGCCGTGGGCTCGCAGCTCGTTGTCACTCCGGCCCGGGCAGGTGAGACGGGGCCCCTGCAGCAGCCGCGCAGCCGGGGCTGGGCAGGAGGCGCCCGCCAGCCGGCAGCTGCCCGGCCTGTGGGAGCTGGGAAACAGGCAAGGAGGATGTCGTGGTTTGACACGGAAAAAGAATTTTTCCTGAAGGAAGAGGTCAATTTGGACAGTGATCAATTGAAGGTAGGCACGCCTCTGAGAACACTGAGGGCTTAAAAGCAGAATTCCCAGGAGAACTCGCTCTCTTGGGTTCCGGTCAGTGGTCAGTGCAGGACTCTCCCCTGCCCGGCCACGAGCTGGGTGGGGGAGGGGAGAAGCCATGTGGCCTTTGGAGGTAGGCCCAAGGGTGGAGGGACTGGAACCGGGCTGGGCCCCTGCAGATAGAAGGGTGGAGAAAATCTGGGATGTCTCCATTCCTCCCAGAGTCTCTCTCTCCCAAGAGAGAAAAAGAGACGGCGGTTTTGCCAGCAGTTCACCGCGGGGAAGGAGAAGAGCGGGGGGCCGCCTGTGGGAGCTGGAGCCTGGGCAGCAAGCCACCTCTGGGAGTCGGGACTTATAACTCTTCCTAAGAAATGAAAGCTTTGTGAAATTTTTCTCCTTCTTGGTTTGAAAAGAGAGGAAGAGAGACAACCTGGGACCTGGGATGTAGGAAGGAGAAATTCTAGGTGGGAGGAGATGATGGAGTGGCTTTTTGGCTGGACTTTTTCTTGGTAGCCACAGATTGAACTGATCTTCTCCTCCAAGAGAGACTGTATTTTAGGAGGATGCTGGTGAGCCAAAGAGACCTGCTTCAGCTGGGAAAAGACAGAAGTGGAGCGAACAGAGAAAAGTTAAGGAGGTTTGTGGTGATGCCCCCTGTCTTCACAGAGGAAGAAGAGAAGATCTCTGTTCTTGGATTCTCGGCCCCAGGGGAAAATGGGGGGGACTGTTGGTCCCAAAAATGAAAAACTGAACTGTTGCTTTTTCCCCTCTTGGCAGGGCATCCTTGAAAGGAAAAATCCTAAAAGCAGTCTGTCTATCCATGCATTGGTGGTGAGAGCACTGTGCATGGAAAGGAGAAGGTCACCACTGGCAAACTTTTTCTCCGGGCAGTGCCATGTGGTGACATGGAAGCACAGGATGTGGCAGCTGTGTTTCTTGGGGGGTCTGTGGCACAAGAGAGAGACTCCTCTCTCCCTGCAGATGGACTGGGGGTTGATTATCTGGAGGGTGGAAACCTGATTGGGGTCCAGATTGTGTCTCACTGTGGTTTGTTGGAGTTGGGTGGTGGGAGGAGGAATGCTTTGGAAGGTTTTCATTTTGAATTGTGTGTGGGTTTTTTTTCCCCTCTTTTATAGTAGCATAGTGGTAGTAGTTTAATAAAGTTTTTTTCTTGTTATTAGGCTTAGGCCTGCTTTGCTCTGTCCTCGATCGCATTTCAAAGCATTCAGTTAAGAGATTGCATTTTCATGGGGGGGCACTGGCATTGTGCCAGTGTCAAACCATGACAGAGGGCTTTGGCCTCGGCTCCCTCGGCTGCTGCAGGTGGGAAGGGCGGAGCAGCGGCTGAGGTCCTGGCAGCAGCAGGGGCTGGTGAGGCGGCAAGAGCGCAGCCCGACCAGAGCCCTCGGGAAAGAAGCTCCGAGCCCACCGCGGGCCCGCGGAGGTATCCGTGGGGTCGGAGAGCTCCTGTCCCCTGTGGCCGGGGCAGCAGCCGCCCACCCGCCCAGGCCGCCGCCGCTGCCCTCCTGTGTCGGCCCGCAGCGCCCTGGCCCGGTGCGGGCTCGGCGCGGTGCGGGCGTGTGTGAGCGGAGCAGCCCCGGACAGCGCCCGGTGCCGCAGTGCCCGGCAGCGCGGGGGGATGGGGCAGGGCAGCTCCCGCCGCCGCCGCCGCGGCGAGGGACCGGGACGTGCTGCCCGTGGGGAATCGCTGCGGTGCCGCCGGGTGGGGAGCAGCGGCAGTTCCCGCTGCTCCGTCTGCTCCGGGGGGAGCCCGGGACGAGAGTCCGGGAAGTTCGGGTCGATCGCGTAAGGAAGGGTCGGGGAAAGCGGGATCCCGGCCAGGTGAGGGACCCCCTGAGAGTGACAGCGGGATACGGGGATCAGGAGGAAGAGAGACTTTAGTGTGGATTTTTTTGGTGCTTGTAATGTGAGGGGGTCAAAGCTCTTTTATATTTCCTGGGACAGCCTTGGGAGGAAGCACTTGAGGTCGTTTCTGTATTCCTGCGGTAGCAGCCAGTGGGTCTAGGGAGGGAGGGAAAGGCGACTGTGCCATGGGAAAGCTGGGCTGAAAGGGGTGAGGGAACGTGAGGTGTGGATGTCGGAGCGGGTGTTCCGGGCAGCTCCGGGGCCAGCGTGAGTGAGAGGAGCCGCAGCTGGAAGGGGCGTCGGTGCCCGCGGTGCGAGTGGATCCGTGCGTGGGGAAAGCGGCGGCAGGGAGTGCGGTGCAGGGTGAGAGCGGGCAGTTCGCTGCGGAGCGCGGCTGCCGAGCCGCAGGGGCCGGAGCGGCGGGGCAGGGGCGGCGGAGCGGCGGCGTTATCGGCGGCAGCGCGGGCGTCGGGAGGCGCGTGCGGTCGCCGGCGCCGCCGGGAGCCGCCGCGGGGTGACCGCCTCCTTCCTGCCCTGGCGGCGAGGCGAGCGCGGGGCCGCAGCCGCGGCAGCAGCGCCATGTGCCAGCGCCGCCGCGAGGGACCGGGGAGCTGGCACCTGGCAGCGCCGCGCGGGGCCGGGGGCTGCTGCCACCCCCGCGGGGGCTGCGAGCTGCCGGGAGGGGAGCGCCCCGAGCGTGGGGCCTTTGAACTTCGCAGGTGCCCGAGCTAGATGTGGTCCCGCGGAAGGTGTCGGTAGGATGTGGGCTGAAGGCTGTCGTCGCCGCCAGGAGGGCTCTTGTCGGGCTCCAGCAGCACCGTTGGAGGCCCGGGGATGGAGGCAGGGCCCCCGCGGGGCAGGTGCAGTGGGGGGGCTGTCTCCCCCCGGGGACATCCGGGTGGCAGCCCACTGTGGCGAAGCGTGTGACGCCAGAAGCGCAGGCGAGGCTCATATTTGGGCACGGAGCAGGTTATTGGAGGCCGCGGCCCCGCAGCCGGGAGATGAGGCGCCTGATAAAGGCTGCCCCGGTGCTGCTGCCTGCGTTGGCTCGGGCGCAGGGCTGAGGGAGCTGCCCCGGCTGCGCCGGCTCGGGGCCGGTGCCGTGGGGCCGGTGCCGTGGGGCCGGTGGCCATGGGGCCGGTGGCGGCGCTGGGGCTGCTGCTGTGCGTGCGGCTGTGTGCGGGTGAGTGGCGGCGGGCGGGAGCGGGGCCCGCGGCGGTGGCGGGCCCGGCTCAGCAGCCCCCGTGCCGCAGGCTCCGGGCAGCTGCGTCTGGTGGGCGGCGGCGGGCGCTGTGCCGGGCGCGTGGAGGTGGAGCACGGCGGTGAGTGGGGCTCCGTGTGCGTCTACGATTTCGACTGGGAACCTCGCTGGGCCGCGGTGGTGTGCCGGCTGCTGGGCTGTGGCCGGGTGGCCAGGGCGTCCCCGTACGTCAGGTTTGGGCAGGGCACCGGGCGGATCTGGATGCAGCCCTTCTGCCGAGGAGGTGAGAGTGCGCTGGAGGAGTGTCTGCACTTTGGATGGGGACTGCACTTCTGCGGCCACGAGCGGGATGTGGGGGTGACCTGCACAGGTGAGGGGACACGCTGGCCGTGCTGGGACAGGCACGTTGTGCTGGAGCATCCTGGGCAGGTCTGAGCCGTGCCGGTGCCCCTGTGCAGATGCCGTGGAGCTGAGGCTGGTGGGCGGCAGCAGTCCCTGTGCCGGGAGGGTGGAGGTGAAGCTGCAGGGACAGTGGGGCTCGGTGGGAGACGACGTCTGGGACATGGAGGACGCCGAGGTGGTTTGCCGGCAGCTGGGCTGTGGCTCGGCTTCTGGTGCCTACTCTGCCCATGACACGTTCGGTGAAGGGAATGGGCTCATCAGCCTGGCCAGGGTGGACTGCGGTGGGTACGAGGCCATGCTCTGGGACTGTGAGATCCGTAACTGGGGACCCTATAAATTCTTCAACCATTACTGGGACACAGCTGTTGTCTGCCAAGGTAGGAGCTGGGCTTATGGGGGCACGGGGCACTGCCTGCGCATCCCTTGACACTGGTCCTGCAGGATTATCCCGGCTAGTCGGAGGTGATGGAGCCTGTGCCGGGCGTCTGGAGGTGCGTCGGGGCCGGGCCTGGGTCGGTGTCTGTGAGGATCAGGTGGACATGAAGGCGGCCCAGGTGGTGTGCAGGGAGCTGGGCTGCGGTGAGGCGCTCGCCATCCCTGGCAGCGCTCGATTTGGGAGAGGATCAGGGTCATTCTGGGACGGTGGCTTCCAGTGCAATGGCACCGAGTCCCTGCTCAGTGCGTGTGCCCGGCGTCTGCCCCACAGCCAGGCCTGCGCCGGCCCTGCCAGCGTCATCTGCTCCGGTAAGTGCTGGGGACGGCGGGAGCTGTTGGGGTCCCTGCGGCATGGCCCCCCTGACCGCTGTTCGTGCCGCAGCCTACACGGGCTTCCGGCTGGGGAACAGCAGCTCGGGATGCTCCGGGCGAGTGGAGGTGGCAGTGAGGGGGACGTGGGGATCCGTGTGCGCCAGCGAGTGGGACCTGGCCGATGCGCACGTCCTGTGCCGCCACCTGGGCTGCGGCCGCGCCTCCAGCGTGCCCCCGGGAGGCTCCTTCGGCAGCGGGGAGGGGACACTGCGGCCGGACGCCTTCGGCTGCCACGGGAGCGAGCGGCACCCGGGCGAGTGCCCCGTGGCCGTGCTGGGGAAGCCGCCCTGTGTGCCCGGAAACGCCGCCGCCGTCAACTGCTCAGGTGTGCAAGGCGGCTCTGCGAGGAGCCTTAAGGGCTTTTGGGAGCCTGCTAAGAATTGGCAGCAGTGGATGCAGGGAACTTTTGCGATGAAGGACTGAGTCTGACCATTTTACAGGCAGTGTCGAGTCCCTGCGGCTAGTAGGGGGCGAGTCCCGATGTGATGGGTTTCTGGATTTGGCCATAGCCACTGGGGCCTGGCGCCGTGTGCCAGGAGAGGTTTCGCTCGTACGGAATTTCAACGAAGTGTGCTGGGAGCTGGGCTGTGGAGAACTGGACAGGACTGATGCTGTCCGTGGTACGATCAAACTGCAGGATGTCAACAAGAATGAGAGGTCCATCATACAAAGGGCGATTCGAACCATCATGGACAAGACCACCAGGTTGGCCCGTAGGACAATTAATGATTATTATATTTTGAATCGAGAGGATTTCATCACCACTGCACCAGCTGACATCCCTCATGGGAACTACATCACGTGCTCAGGTGGGTGTCCCGAGAAGGGCCAGAGGTGCGGGTGCCCCAAGCAGCCCCCCCAGCCCATTCCTTCCCGGCCCACAGGCAGCCGGCAGGTGAGGCTGGCGGGGAGCTCGGGGCGCTGTGCCGGGCGCGTGGAGGTCTATTCCGGGGGCAGCTGGAGCTCCGTCTGCCAGGAAGGCTGGGAGCTGCAGGACGCCGCCGTTGTCTGCCGGGAGCTGGGCTGTGGCACGGCACTGGAGGCCCCGAGCCGGGCGCGCTTCGGTGCCGGCACGGGGCCGCTGTGGCCGTACGTGCCCGACTGCTCCGGCTCCGAGGAGTCTCTCTGGGAATGCGGGCGCACGGAACGGCGCGAGTGCGGGCGCGGTGGCGGGGCAGGGGCCGTCTGCTCAGGTCGGTGCCGGGCACCCCAAGGTCAGGGCCCGGCAGAGGCCCCGGGGGGTTCCCGGCCGTGCCGTGACCCCCCCGCACCCCTTGCAGAGCAGCTCTCGGTGCGGCTGGCAGGAGGCCCTGGGCGCTGCCGGGGGTACCTGGAGGTGTCCTACAACGGCACCTGGGGCCGCGTCTGCGCCAACGGCACCAGAACCGGCACCGCCGCCGCCGTCTGCCGCCAGCTGGGCTGTGGGCACCTGGGCCGGCTCTCGGCTGTCCCCACCCAGCAGCCGTCCCTGGCGTGGCTGGCCTGGGTGGGCTGTGAGGACGGGGCCCGCTCGCTCTGGGAGTGCCCCTCGGCCCCCTGGCACCTGCAGAGCTGTGGCACCGGCGGCTACGCCCAAGTGGAGTGTGAGGAGGACGGCGATGGCACCTCTGAGGGACGCACTACCCCATATCCGGAGGGTGCCACCAGCACAGGTAGCTCTGCCCGTGCCTGCATCCCCCACCGCAGGCTGGCTGGGATCCCCCTCCCCTCACTGCCTGCCTGTGTCCCCACAGGTGTCCCCAGCAGATCGCCCTCAGCAGTGGCCGTGGGGACTGTGCCTGTGCCCACTGTGCTGTGCGTGGTGCTGGGGACGCTGCTGTGCCTGTCCCTGGGTGCCCTGGCCCTGCTGCTGTGCCGTGCCCGTGCCCGGCGCCGAGGTGGGTCCCGGTGGATGGGGGTGGGGACAGATCCGGTCTGGGGGTCCTGTGGAACAGCTCTGAAGGTGGCCGGGGTTATCCGTGTGCCACCCACAGGGCCCAGGGCCCCAGGTAAGTGCTGCATCTGGTTCCAGGCCCTGGCAGAGCTGCAGATGCCATCTCCAACGCTGTCTACGAGGAGCTGGATTACAAAGCCGTGCCAGAGTACCAGGAGGTGCCCACTCCCCCAGGTGGGTGCCGCCCTTGTGCCCCGGCTGTGCTCGGAGTGAAGGCTCTGCCTGACAGCCCCACGGCACCTCCGGGTCCTGGTGGCCCTGCTGTGGTTCCTGGCCATGGGCTGTGGGTGCCCCTGGGTGCCACAGCAGCCCCGCTCTGTAGCGTGAGGTTCTGTCACCTGCGGAGCCGCTTGTGGCCACCCCCAAGTCCCTGTTTGTCCCCTGCAGGTTCCCTGTCGGAGGGACGGGTGAAGAAGCTGCCGTATTACACCGGGGACAGCGTGGAGGGGAGTGACACCGAGGCCGCCCCAGGTAGGGCCACAGGGCAGGAGCCCAGCAGGGAGAGCTGGGGACAGGGGGCACACCCAGGCTGGGGGGCTGAGGGGACAAATCCTTCCCCCCTTGTTAGTGTGCAGAGAGACATCGCCTTTCCCTGTGGGACCACAGGGCCTCCAGCAGCTGCCCAGTGGAAAGGCTGGCAAGGATGGCACAGCCAGAGCCCTGCCAGGGACACTGGTCACTGCCATGGACCCCTCTGATTTTCCCAGATCCCCCTGCCCGGCCCGAGCAAGGAACCCCGGAGGGCTACGACGATGTCCTGGATGTGCCACAGGAGGCCCCTGCTCCCAGCACTGGGGACATCTCTGAGGGAGTGACACGGCAGAAATCGATCTGTGTCCTCCCCACAGGTGAGAGGGCTCACAGCTGCCCTGTCCCCTCTGCAGAGCCACTCCAGGGCAGGGTTTGTGTGTGGGGGCAGGCAGGGCCCCAGCACAGATCCATGGGTGCTGTGCTCTGACCCCCGGTGGGGTCCGTCAGGGGGGACAGGGAGCTGCCTGCCCCTCAGGCACCTTTCCGTGCTGTCCCCAAGGTGGGATCTGCTCCCCTCCATGTCCCCCAGGAGCAACAACAGACTTCTCAGATCCGAGCCCTGGGAACACGGACTATGATGATGTGGGCAGCAGCGCCCCGGCGACACTGCCATGAGGATGTCCTGGCCATGCCACAGCCCAGGGGACACGTGTGTGGCAGTGCGGTGGGGCCCTGTGCCCAGGGAGGTCTGGCCCTGCCCATGGAAGTCATCCCTCGCTGTGCAGCGCTGCAGGAAAGCAGCTCCTGTGTAGGGATTTCCTTTGATTTCAGTTTAAATTTCCATTTTTCCTTATTAAAAGCCAAACTGGTCAGAAACTCACTCCCATGCCTGGAAGCTCATTCTGGGGCTGGCACTTCCATCCCATGTACGCTTTTGGTTGGCGATGTGAGGCAGGAACTGGAAGCAGAAACACATCCCTGGGGATGGTGGGCTGAGGGGGGAGGGCAGAGGAGGATTGCTGGGCTTGTCTGCAGGGCCTTTATTTATCGCTGCCAAATGCACAGAAGCGATGCCAGCAACAGCGAGGGGAAAAGGGAGAGGGCAGGAGCCGGAGCCCACCCCGCAGGTGCCGCAGGATCTCCTCCCCGTGCCCCGCGGGTGGGGCAGGCTCAGCCCCACTCTCAGCGCCGAGAGCTGGGCTGGGAAGGGCTCTGGTTGTTGGAAGGACTTTTCCTAAAGGAGGGGAGGTCTCCTGAAGGAGGGGAGCGCCTTCCTGCCCCCCGGCAGCAGCCCGCGGTGGCAGGGCAGCCGGGCCATGGCCCCTGGCTGCGGCACGTCGTGCTCCAGGAGGCTCCCGATCTTCAGGGCGGGCTGCAGAGCCCGGAGGGCGTCCAGTTCCTGCAGCAGGGCCTGGCTGAAGCCGTCCGTGCTCAGCCTGGGCGTGGAGGAGGCAGGAGAAGAGGAGAAGGTGCTGGAGCTTGTGGGGAGGTGTCAGAGTCCAGAGCATCCCTCTGGCTGCCCTGGATGACTCGAGCCCCTGGCAAAGTGCACAGGAACCTTGGCAGCAAACGGAAAACACCTCTGGATTCGAGTTTAGCCTGTGGGAGAGGCTGCTGATCTTACATGAGGAATTACAAGCAAAAAGGGTTTGAATGATGTAATAAGGAAATTGACACAGAGTGGAAAAGTAGAATTTTGGGATTTGTTAGAATGGAATTCAGGGGTACAAGATGGAGGAACCTGGGCGTGCCCTAGCTTCTTCTTCCTTCTTCTTGTCCTCCATGTCTTGCTGTGATAGTGACACTTTTCTATTGGTTTAGGATAGGGACACCTTGTCCAACATAGATTTTATGTATTGGTACGGGAATTGTAAACAGGGTACACGTAATTTTGAGTTTATACCGTGGGAGCTGCCTGGGGCGGGAAGGAGACTGCCACGGCTTCTGTGCTAGCTGGACCTCGGCAGGTCAGAAAGAAACTCTTGTAGATAAGGGAAAAGAAACAACCTTGAAAAGTCGGCTTCACGCATTCCAGACCTCTTCTTCAGCGCCTGGGCTAGTGAAAAAGGACTTTCACACTGTTGGGGTCTTGCCCAGTGACCCCGACAGTTTTGGCCTCTCTGGGTGGGCACGGAGCTCACCAGAAGTGCTGAACATCTGACCCTAGCCCGACTAGAAAACTCCCTGAAGAGGACGGCCCGAACCCTTGCCGAGTGCAACATTCTTCATACTCAACTCGGAAAGGAGAAGATCCAAGGGCCCTGGGTGTTCTCCACCTGTTATCTGCTGGACAGAGACCAGGAAAGCTTCTGGACTGATTTTGCAGACGCCGCCGCTATTGGGCGAGGACCGAAGTGGGTTTCGGGAGATACGTGAAACCCTGCCGGACTCTGATGCAAGCAGACGCTGAATCTGAGAACAAAGAGGCAAGCACGCAGACGTGAGAGGACATCCACAAACATCTCTTCAATCCAGAATTTCAGGACTTGGGTGTCATTGCCTTGCAAAGTCAAAATGTTGTTTTTGTGCTTCATTCTGTTGTCAATTGCCTTAGGCAATTCCATTGCCTTGGGTAATTCGGCAGATTTTCCCATGCTCCAACCAAAAGAAAACGTTTGGGAAACTTTGGCCAATGCAGCAGGTTTGGACACCATCTGCTTGACACGTTCAAGACTGAAAAAACCGTGTTCAACATGTCTTCTGGGCTTGCCAGTGAGTGAATGGCCAATTCCAAAGAACATCCCTCCCAAGGTTTCACAGGTCATTCCGAATCCTGTGGACGGATGGGAGGTTTGGACACATTTTCTCCCAATGGTTCCTTTTGAACCTCAAGAATTGGAAATTCTTGGTTCAGTGACAATGAATTTTTGTATAGAATTTGGCATTTCAGGAGTGATGCAAACAAATAGTAAAATGATAGATGTCGCCCCAAATAATTTCATTTCCAGAATGCCTCTTCTTGGTGTAATTACACCAAGGTGTCAAACAGACCATCCCACCAAGCCCCAGCGCAATTGCCACAAGGGGTCTTTTTCATTTGTGGGGACAGGATTTGGCCTGCTATCCCTGCAAATGCCACAGGCGGTCCATGCAGCATTGGAAAACTTTCATTGCTACCACCCGATTTGACAATCTTGAGAGGGAAAAAGCATAGGGGGAAAAGAAATATTAAAAAATATGATCCAAAGTGTGATGATAATGCTTATACATGGAACAAGGCTCAGAGAACTGTGGCTGCAATATTCTCGCCACAAGCAGCATCAGGGGTAGCCTTGACTCACCTGGATCGGATGGGGTGTTGGTTGAGCAAACACGCTCGTGCTGTCTCTCTTGCACTGAGTGACGTGCTAACAGATGTCAACAGTGGAAGACGGGCAACTCTTCAGAACAGAGTGGCAATTGGTTATTTATTGCTGACACATGGGCACGGGTGTGAAGAATTTGAAGGCATGTGCTGCATGAACTTGTCAGATCATTTTAAATCAATCCATGAAAACATGAAGCGATTGCAGGAAGGTATAGACAAATTTGGAGAAGTTACTGGATCTTGGTTGAATGATTAGTTTGATTTTTTTTGACCTCTCACCATTGTGGAGGGAACTTTTGAAAATGGCTTTTTATATTTTAGTAGGGCTTGCCAGTCTTCTGCTTATTTTCCCAGGCCTTTTTCAATGGGTGAGGCGAGCCATGAACAGGGCTGCCAGAGAGGTGTTTTTGGTGCAACGAGAAAGGGGAGCTGTCGGAGTCCAGAGCATTCCTCTGGCTGCCCTGGATGACTCCAGCCCCTGGCAAAGGGCACAGGAACCTTGGCAGCAAATGGAAAACACCTGTGGATTACATTTTAGCCCCTAGGAGAGGCTGCCGACCTTACATGAGGAATTAAAATTAAAACGGTTTGAACGATGTAATAAGGAAATTGATATAGGGTGGAAAAGTAGAATTTTGGGATTTGTTAGAATGGAATTCAGGGGTAGAAGATGGGGGAACCTGGGAGTGCCCTAGCTTCTTCTTCCTTCTTCTTGTCCTCCATGTCTTGGCGTGACAGTGACACTTTTCTATTGGTTTAGGATAGGGACATTTTTCCAACGTAGATTTTAGGTATTGGTACGGGAATTGTAAACACGGCATATATAAATTTGCATATATTACGTGAGAGCTGCCTGGGGCGGGAAGGAGACTGCCACGGCTTCTGTGCTAGCTGGGCTTCATCAGGTCAGAAAGAAACTCTTGTAGATAAGGAAAAATAAACAACCTTGAAAAGTCGGCTTCACGCATTCCAGACCTCTTCTTCAGCGGCCGGGCTAGGGAAAAAGGACTTTCACACTGTCGGGGTCTTGCCCAGTGACCCCGACAGGGAGGGAGGTGCCGAGCCAGGCTGGATGCCGCTGCGGCCCTGCCTGTCCCGCAGCCTGCGCTGCCCGGCTCGGGAATGGCGGGCACGGAAGGGAAGGTGGCAGGGCCCTCACTCAGCGCAGGCTCCGCAGCGGGCAGGCGGGATGCCGGAGCTGCTGGCAGAGCTGCAGGACGCCGTGGGCTCGCAGCTCGTTGTCACTCCGGCCCGGGCAGGTGAGACGGGGCCCCTGCAGCAGCCGCGCAGCCGGGGCTGGGCAGGAGGCGCCCGCCAGCCGGCAGCTGCCCGGCCTGTGGGAGCTGGGAAACAGGCAAGGAGGGCTTTGGCCTCGGCTCCCTCGGCTGCTGCAGGTGGGAAGGGCGGAGCAGCGGCTGAGGTCCTGGCAGCAGCAGGGGCTGGTGAGGCGGCAAGAGCGCAGCCCGACCAGAGCCCTCGGGAAAGAAGCTCCGAGCCCACCGCGGGCCCGCGGAGGTATCCGTGGGGTCGGAGAGCTCCTGTCCCCTGTGGCCGGGGCAGCAGCCGCCCACCCGCCCAGGCCGCCGCCGCTGCCCTCCTGTGTCGGCCCGCAGCGCCCTGGCCCGGTGCGGGCTCGGCGCGGTGCGGGCGTGTGTGAGCGGAGCAGCCCCGGACAGCGCCCGGTGCCGCAGTGCCCGGCAGCGCGGGGGGATGGGGCAGGGCAGCTCCCGCCGCCGCCGCCGCGGCGAGGGACCGGGACGTGCTGCCCGTGGGGAATCGCTGCGGTGCCGCCGGGTGGGGAGCAGCGGCAGTTCCCGCTGCTCCGTCTGCTCCGGGGGGAGCCCGGGACGAGAGTCCGGGAAGTTCGGGTCGTTCGCGTAAGGAAGGGTCGGGGAAAGCGGGATCCCGGCCAGGTGAGGGACCCCCTGACAGTGACAGCGAGATACGGGGACCAGGAGGAAGAGAGACTTTAGTGTGGATTTTTTTTGTGCTTGCAATGTGAGGGGGTCAAAGCCCTTTTATATTTCCTGGGACAGCCTTGGGAGGAAGCACTTGGGGTCGTTTCTGTATTCCTGCGGTAGCAGCCAGTGGGTTTAGGGAGGGAGGGAAAGGCGACTGTGCCATGGGAAAGCTGTGCTGAAAGGGGTGAGGGAACGTGAGGTGTGGATGTCGGAGCGGGTGTTCCGGGCAGCTCCGGGGCCAGCGTGAGTGAGAGGAGCCGCAGCTGGAAGGGGCGTCGGTGCCCGCGGTGCGAGTGGATCCGTGCGTGGGGAAAGCGGCGGCAGGGAGTGCGGTGCAGGGTGAGAGCGGGCAGTTCGCTGCGGAGCGCGGCTGCCGAGCCGCAGGGGCCGGAGCGGCGGGGCAGGGGCGGCGGAGCGGCGGCGTTATCGGCGGCAGCACGGGCGTCGGGAGGCGCGTGCGGTCGCCGGCGCCGCCGGGAGCCGCCGCGGGGTGACCGCCTCCTTCCTGCCCTGGCGGCGAGGCGAGCGCGGGGCCGCAGCCGCGGCAGCAGCGCCATGTGCCAGCGCCGCCGCGAGGGACCGGGGAGCTGGCACCTGGCAGCGCCGCGCGGGGCCGGGGGCTGCTGCCACCCCCCCGCGGGGGCTGCGAGCTGCCGGGAGGGGAGCGCCCCGAGCGTGGGGCCTTTGAACTTCGCAGGTGCCCGAGCTAGATGTGGTCCCGCGGAAGGTGTCGGTAGGATGTGGGCTGAAGGCTGTCGTCGCCGCCAGGATGGCTCTTGTCGGGCTCCAGCAGCACCGTTGGAGGCCCGGGGGATGGAGGCAGGGCCCCCGCGGGGCAGGTGCAGTGGGGGGGCTGTCTCCCCCCGGGGACATCCGGGTGGCAGCCCACTGTGGCGAAGCGTGTGACGCCAGAAGCGCAGGCGAGGCTCATATTTGGGCACGGAGCAGGTTATTGGAGGCCGCGGCCCCGCAGCCGGGAGATGAGGCGCCTGATAAAGGCTGCCCCGGTGCTGCTGCCTGCGTTGGCTCGGGCGCAGGCCTGAGGGAGCTGCCCCGGCTGCGCCGGCTCGGGGCCGGTGCCGTGGGGCCGGTGCCGTGGGGCCGGTGCCGTGGGGCCGGTGGCCATGGGGCCGGTGGCGGCGCTGGGGCTGCTGCTGTGCGTGCGGCTGTGTGCGGGTGAGTGGCGGCGGGCGGGAGCGGGGCCCGCGGCGGTGGCGGGCCCGGCTCAGCAGCCCCCGTGCCGCAGGCTCCGGGCAGCTGCGTCTGGTGGGCGGCGGCGGGCGCTGTGCCGGGCGCGTGGAGGTGGAGCACGGCGGTGAGTGGGGCTCCGTGTGCGTATTCGACTTCCACTGGGATGGTCGCTTGGCTGAGGTGGTGTGCCGGCTGCTGGGCTGTGGCCGGGTGGCCAGGGCGTCCCCGTACGCCCCGTTCGGGCAGGGCACCGGGCGGATCTGGCTGCAGCCACGCTTCTGCCGAGGAGGTGAGAATGCGCTGGAGGAGTGTTCGCACTATGGATTGGGACGGCACTTCTGCGGCCACGAGCGGGATGTGGGGGTGACCTGCACAGGTGAGGGGACACGCTGGCCGTGCAGGGACAGGCACGTTGTGCTGGAGCATCCTGGGCAGGTCTGAGCCGTGCCGGTGCCCCTGTGCAGATGCCGTGGAGCTGAGGCTGGTGGGCGGCAGCAGTCCCTGTGCCGGGAGGGTGGAGGTGAAGCTGCAGGGACAGTGGGGCTCGGTGGGAGACGACGACTGGGACAAGGAGGACGCCGAGGTGGTTTGCCAGCAGCTGGGCTGTGGCTCGGCTTCCAAAGACTACTACGCCCGTGACAGATTTGGCCTAGGGGGCTGGCTCATCAGCCTGACTCAGGTGGACTGCAGTGGGTACGAGGCCACGCTCTGGGACTGCGAGATCCGTGGCTGGGGACCCTATAACAGCAGCATCCGTTATTGGCACACTGCTGTTGTCTGCCAAGGTAGGAGCTGGGCTTATGTGGGCATGGGGCACTGCCTGCGCATCCCTTGACACTGGTCCTGCAGGATTCTCCCGGCTAGTCGGAGGTGATGGAGCCTGTGCCGGGCGTCTGGAGGTGCGTCGGGGCCGGGCCTGGGTCGGTGTCTGTGAGGATCAGGTGGACATGAAGGCGGCCCAGGTGGTGTGCAGGGAGCTGGGCTGCGGTGAGGCGCTCGCCATCCCTGGCAGCGCTCGATTTGGGAGAGGATCAGGGTCATTGTGGGACGGTGGCTTCCAGTGCAATGGCACCGAGTCCCTGCTCAGTGCGTGTGCCCGGCGTCTGCCCCTCAGCCAGGCCTGCGCCGGCCCTGCCAGCGTCATCTGCTCCGGTAAGTGCTGGGGACGGCGGGAGCTGTTGGGGTCCCTGCGGCATGGCCCCCCTGACCGCCGTTCGTGCCGCAGCCTACACGGGCTTCCGGCTGGGGAACAGCAGCTCGGGATGCTCCGGGCGAGTGGAGGTGGCAGTGAGGGGGACGTGGGGATCCGTGTGCGCCAGCGAGTGGGACCTGGCCGATGCGCACGTCCTGTGCCGCCACCTGGGCTGCGGCCGCGCCTCCAGCGTGCCCCCGGGAGGCTCCTTCGGCAGCGGGGAGGGGACACTGCGGCCGGACGCCTTCGGCTGCCACGGGAGCGAGCGGCACCCGGGCGAGTGCCCCGTGGCCGTGCTGGGGAAGCCGCCCTGTGTGCCCGGAAACGCCGCCGCCGTCAACTGCTCAGGTGTGCAAGGCGGCTCTGCGAGGAGCCTTAAGGGCTTTTGGGAGCCTGCTAAGAATTGGCAGCAGTGGATGCCGGATATATTTTGGACTGAAGTTCCATCTGAGGCAGGTGCTACAGCTCCGTGGCTCTGCTGCTGAATTTGCAGGTGCTGGCTTTGTCACGACCCTGCGGCTGGTGGGTGGTCAGAGCTTGTGTGATGGGCGGCTGGAGGAGGCCATAACCAGCCCAGCCTGGCGCCGTGTGCCGCTGGAGCAGTGGAAGTCATGGGATGTCAACGCGGTATGTTCCGTGCTGGGCTGTGGCCAAGCCAGGGATGTTTACTCTGCCTTGGGTACGGCTGCTGCATTGAGCAGCAGCCCCAGCCAGGTGGACATCAGGACTGAAGAGATGGACGGCGTTTTGGACGTGGGCTCTGCACTGACCGGCAGCCCTGAGGAGATGGATGACCAGCTGGAGGAGAGGGGCGATGTCTCAGGGATGGGCCCTGCGCTGAACAGCAGCGTGGAGGAGATGGCCATCACCTGCTCAGGTGGGTGTCCCGAGAAGGGCCAGAGGTGCGGGTGCCCCAAGCAGCCCCCCCAGCCCATTCCTTCCCTGCCCACAGGCAGCCGGCAGGTGAGGCTGGCGGGGAGCTCGGGGCGCTGTGCCGGGCGCGTGGAGGTCTATTCCGGGGGCAGCTGGAGCTCCGTCTGCCAGGAAGGCTGGGAGCTGCAGGACGCCGCCGTTGTCTGCCGGGAGCTGGGCTGTGGCACGGCACTGGAGGCCCCGAGCCGGGCGCGCTTCGGTGCCGGCACGGGGCCGCTGTGGCCGTACGTGCCCGACTGCTCCGGCTCCGAGGAGTCTCTCTGGGAATGCGGGCGCACGGAACGGCGCGAGTGCGGGCGTGGTGGCGGGGCAGGGGCCGTCTGCTCAGGTCGGTGCCGGGCACCCCAAGGTCAGGGCCCGGCAGAGGCCCCGGGGGGTTCCCGGCCGTGCCGTGACCCCCCCGCACCCCTTGCAGAGCAGCTCTCGGTGCGGCTGGCAGGAGGCCCTGGGCGCTGCCGGGGGTACCTGGAGGTGTCCTACAACGGCACCTGGGGCCGTGTCTGCGCTACCGGCACCAGCACCGACACCGGCACCGCCGTCTGCCGCCAGCTGGGCTGTGGGCACCGGGGCTGGCTCTCAGCTGTCCCCACCCAGCAGCCGTCCCTGGCGTGGCTGGCCTGGGTGGGCTGTGAGGACGGGGCCCGCTCGCTCTGGGGGTGCCCCTCGGCCCCCTGGCACCTGCAGAGCTGTGGCACCGGCGGCTACGCCAAAGTGGAGTGTGAGGAGGACGGCGATGGCACCTCTGAGGGACGCACTACCCCATATCCGGAGGGTGCCACCAGCACAGGTAGCTCTGCCCGTGCCTGCATCCCCCAACGCAGGCTGGCTGGGATCCCCCTCCCCTCACTGCCTGCCTGTGTCCCCACAGGTGTCCCCAGCAGATCGCCCTCAGCAGTGGCCGTGGGGACTGTGCCTGTGCCCACTGTGCTGTGCGTGGTGCTGGGGACGCTGCTGTGCCTGTCCCTGGGTGCCCTGGCCCTGCTGCTGTGCCGTGCCCGTGCCCGGCGCCGAGGTGTGTCCCGGTGGATGGGGGTGGGGACAGATCCGGTCTGGGGGCCTAGAGGCTCCTGTCCTGTGGAACAGCTCTGAAGGTGGCCGGGGTGATCCCGGTGCCACCCACAGGGCCCAGGGCCCCAGGTAAGTGCTGCATCTGGTTCCAGGCCCTGGCAGAGCTGCAGATGCCATCTCCAACGCTGTCTACGAGGAGCTGGATTACAAAGCCGTGCCAGAGTACCAGGAGGTGCCCACTCCCCCAGGTGGGTGCCGCCCTTGTGCCCCGGCTGTGCTCGGAGTGAAGGCTCTGCCTGACAGCCCCACGGCACCTCCGGGTCCTGGTGGCCCTGCTGTGGTTCCTGGCCATGGGCTGTGGGTGCCCCTGGGTGCCACAGCGGCCCCGCTCTGTAGCGTGAGGTTCTGTCACCTGCAGAGCCGCTTGTGGCCACCCCCAAGTCCCTGTTTGTCCCCTGCAGGTTCCCTGTCGGAGGGACGGGTGAAGAAGCTGCCGTATTACACCGGGGACAGCGTGGAGGGGAGTGACACCGAGGCAGCCCCAGGTAGGGCCACAGGGCAGGAGCCCAGCAGGGAGAGCTGGGGACAGGGGGCACACCCCGGTTGGGGGGCTGAGGGGACAAATCCTTCCCCCCTTGTTAGTGTGCAGAGAGACATCGCCTTTCCCTGTGGGTCCACAGGGCCTCCAGCAGCTGCCCAGTGGAAAGGCTGGCGGGTGTGGCACAGCCAGAGCCCTGCCAGGGACACTGGTCACTGCCATGGACCCCTCTGATTTTCCCAGATCCCCCTGACCGGCCCGAGCAAGGAACCCCGGAGGGCTACGACGATGTCCTGGATGTGCCACAGGAGGCCCCTGCTCCCAGCACTGGGGACATCTCTGAGGGAGTGGCACGGCAGAAGTCGATCTGTGTCCTCCCCACAGGTGAGAGGGCTCACAGCTGCCCTGTCCCCTTTGCAGAGCCACTCCAGGGCAGGGTTTGTGTGTGGGGGCAGGCAGGGCCCCAGCACAGATCCATGGGTGCCGTGGTCTGACCCCCGGTGGGGTCCGTCAGGGGGCACACGTTGCTGCCTGCCCCTCAGGCACCTTTCCGTGCTGTCCCCAAGGTGGGATCTGCTCCCCTCCATGTCCCCCAGGAGCAACAACAGACTTCTCAGATCCGAGCCCAGGGAACACGGACTATGACGATGTGAGCGGCAGCGCCCCGGCGACACTGCCATGAGGATGTCCTGGCCATGCCACAGCCCTGGGGACACGTGTGTGGCAGTGCGGTGGGGCCCTGTGCCCAGGGAGGTCTGGCCCTGCCCATGGAAGTCATCCCTCGCTGTGCAGCGCTGCAGGAAAGCAGCTCCTGTGTAGGGATTTCCTTTGATTTCAGTTTAAATTTCCCATTTTTCCGTATTAAAAGCCAAACTGGTCAGAAACTCACTCCCAGGCCTGGAAGCTCATTCTGGGGCTGGCATTTCCATCCCATGTACGCTTTTGGTTGGCGATGTGAGACAGGAACTGGAAGCAGAAACACATCCCTGGGGATGGTGGGCTGTGGGGGGAGGGCTGAGGAGGATTGCTGGGCTTGTCTGCAGGGCCTTTATTTATCGCTGCCAAATGCACAGAAGCGATGCCAGCAACAGCGAGGGGAAAAGGGAGAGGGCAGGAGCCGGAGCCCACCCCGCAGGTGCCGCAGGATCTCCTCCCCGTGCCCCGCGGGTGGGGCAGGCTCAGCCCCACTCTCAGCGCCGAGAGCTGGGCTGGGAAGGGCTCTGGTTGTTGGAAGGACTTTTCCTAAAGGAGGGGAGGTCTCCTGAAGGAGGGGAGCGCCTTCCTGCCCCCCGGCAGCAGCCCGCGGTTGCAGGGCAGCCGGGCCATGGCCCCTGGCTGCGGCACGTCGTGCTCCAGGAGGCTCCCGATCTTCAGGGCGGGCTGCAGAGCCCGGAGGGCGTCCAGTTCCTGCAGCAGGGCCTGGCTGAAGCCGTCCGTGCTCAGCCTGGGCGTGGAGGAGGCAGGAGAAGAGGAGAAGGTGCTGGAGCTTGTGGGGAGGGAGGTGCTGACCCAGCACCTGACCCTGGATGCCGCTGCGGCCCTGCCTGTCCCGCAGCCTGCGCTGCCCGGCTCGGGAATGGCGGGCACGGAAGGGAAGGTGGCAGGGCCCTCACTCACCCCAGGCTCCGCAGCGGGCAGGCGGGATGCCGGAGCTGCTGGCAGAGCTGCAGGACGCCGTGGGCTCCCAACTCGTTGTCACTCAGGTCCAGGCAGGTGAGACGGGGCCCGTGCAGCAGCCGCGCAGCCAGGGCTGGGCAGGAGGCGCCCGCCAGCCGGCAGCTGCCCAGCCTGTGGGAGCGAGGGAAACAGGGAAGGAGGGCTTTGACCTCTGCTCCCTCGGCTGCTGCAGGTGGGAAGTAGAAAGCTCTGGACAGGTAGGAAAGAGCATTGGCCCATCCTGCAGCCCCTTTACCGCAGTATCTGTAGTGGGCAGGCGCAGTGCTGGAGCCCCTCACACAGCAGCTCCACGCCGGTATCGCGCAGGTCCTCGCTGAAGGACAAATCCAGCTCCTCCAGGCAGGTGTTAGTACCCAGCACAGCAGCAAGGTCCTCACAGCTGGCACTGGTGATGCGGGTATACCGCAGCCTGATGGGAATCCCCGGGAAAACCCTCAGAGACTCCTCAGTGCCTTCACTGCCATCCCACCATGGTGACAGTCTCCACCCTTGTGCCACAACCTTGGCGCTCCTTGCCTTGGAAGTGTGTGACACAGTCACGATGCCACCCCAGGGGGACCCTTTGGCGTGCCTCCCAAGCTCTCAGGTCTGAGATGCCTGAGAGATTCTGGAGGTGCTCACCTCAGGATGCGCAGGCGGCTGCCCGCAGTCCGCAGCCCCTCACAGAGGAGGCGCACACCACTGTCACCCAGAGAGCTGTCAGCCACCTCCAGGTGGGCCAGTCCCGGGTGCTCCGCCAGCAGCGCTGCCAGCTCCGCACAGCAGCTTTCGGACAGCTGGCACCACTGCAGCCTGCGGGAGAGCACGGAGAACGGGGGTCAACACACCTCACCTGTCCTGGCTGCTCAACTGCCCACCAAACCTGAGGGACAACACCCACCCTCAGGTACAGAGGGTCTGACCTCTTACTGGCTGCTTGCCATTGTGCCTGGGGAGCAGCAGGGCAGCACCAATCCTCTCGCCCACTGCACTATGGTTCAGGTGTGCCCACCCACAGCCCGGATCCCAGCCCCGGTTTGGGCTCTGTGTGCGTCTCTCACCGGAGCACCTGCAGGGCGCTGTCCCGGTGCCGCAGAGCCCGGCAGAGCAGGTGGATGGGGCAGGGCATCTCCTCCTTCCGCTGCACGACGAGGGCACCAGGATGTCCTCCGGCTCCTGAGACTCCAGAGCTGCAGGGTGACAGAGCCGCAGGGCACGCGCAGCCCTCAGTGGTGATGGCAGCTCCCGGTTCTGACACCAGCACACAACCTCCCTGCCCCGAGCAGAGCCTCCAGCTCCTCCACAGAGACCTTTGTGGCTTTGGAGGTGGGAAGGACCTTGAGCATTGCTGCTGGAGCCACCGGGGGAGATGTAAGGTAAGTCATGGTGTGCACTTAACATTCCAGCACCAGGGATCTCCCTTTGAGGGGGAGAAGGGTGACACGGGAAGCCAGAGTGACAGCTGGGCACAGACGGGCCTGGCTAGGTCGAGCCAAGAACTCCACCACCATCAATCCCACAGTGGGCAGTGGATGGAGAAGCCCATGTGTTCCTTATTCTCCCTAGGAATAAGTAAATTCTCCACTGAGGAACCAAACACCCAGCGAAAGGCCAAGCTGGTGTTCGGTGGGGAGGAGATGAATCATCCTTTGGGGTAGAGAAAGAAATTTTTTGCAGCTCTGGGTCATTAAGCAAGGAGGACCAGGACTTACCAAGGCACTGATGCATCCAGCTCTGCCTCAGGATCCTGCCAGTGGAAGAAGCATCCCTGGAGAGTGATGGAGCCCAGCCCAGCCCAGTGCTGGATGCAGAAGGAAAGAGCCATCTGGTCGTACAGGGTCAGCTTGGTGTCGTGCAAGTCCAGGTCAGTGAAGTGACCCAATGCACTTTCTGCAAAGCTCTTCTCGTTCATCTCAAACAAGAAGTGGAAAGTGTCCATCTCTGAAATCTTCAGTGCTTGGCTAGGGTGGGAGAGGCCTCTGTGCCTCCCCTGAAGCCACTCCAGCAGCTCTTCCCTGGCTCGTGGTGAAATTCTGCACCCAAAGGTTTTGTCCATGTACTCCATGGATTTCTGGCTGACCAGACCAAAGAGGAATAGCACTGTTACGTTCAAATCCTTTCTGGACTTGTAGCTTTCTAACAATTTATTTACATCCTTCTCAAGCCTCCCCGAGCTGCTGACTGTTTCCCCATCATCCTCCAGAACATAAAACAGTGCTGCAAAAAACTCCTGGAGGTGCAGGTGGGTGAAGGCATAGACACTCCCATTGTCTTCTCCTTTTCTTGGGATCCTTTCATTGAGGAAGTAGGGGAGAAGACCTGGCTGGTCCAAGCCATAGTCCTTGATTTCCTTTTCCTCAAAGAGCACCTTGTGCTTCCAGATACCCTCAGCAGCCAAGGAGCAAAGCTGGAGTAGGAACTGCTGGAGGACCTGTGGGTTGTCTCTGCCCCTGTGCTTCAGTAACTGGGAGAGGTAGAACATTGTCATCCCTGTAGTGGCTTTGGAGCACTCAAGGAGGTTTTTCTTCCCACAAAGCTCTTGTTCAAGGATGGTGCAGATGGTCCAGCTCATGATAGGGATGACACACAAGCTATAGAGGATCTCATTGCCTCTGACAAACCTGAAGGCCACATCTGCTTTTCTGGGGTTCTCAAAATACTGGTGGAAATACTCCTTCCTCCTGGCTGCTGAAAATCCCAGTATCTCCATGTAATGCTTACCCTTCAGGCACTGCCTCAGGCTTCCAAGAGCCATTGGCCTCATGGTGATGAGCAAAGAGGCTTTGGGGAGCACAGTCTTCTTCAACAAGCTCATGAGGGTGAGCTCCAGTGGCTTCACCTCTCTGGGATCAGAGCTCAGCTCAGCTTCGGGCTGAACCAAGGAAAACCCCAGGGCCTCGAAGCCATCAAAAATGAACAGGATCTTCTTCTGGTCATCCAGGATCTTCCCAGCCGGCACTTGCAGAGCAGGACAGCATTGTGAAACCAGGTCTGCCACGCTGGCTTCCATGGGAAGGGTGATGGCTTTGCAGTCAATGCAGAAGACAAAGTCAAACTGTGTGTGGAGTGTCCCTTCTCCCCACTCCACCATCACCTTCCTGACCATCGTTGTCTTCCCCATCCCTGGGGCTCCCACCAGCACCACGACCTGCGGGGTTTGCCCGTCCCCGCCGGGTTCAAACAGCGCGGTGGTGGCGGCGGCTGCTCCGCTGCCGGCGCTGGCACATCCCTGGCCGGTTCCCACGGCTCCATCCTTGGCTCCGTGCTTGCCCCGAGGCTCCCTGGTGATGGTCAGTGGGGTGAAGCGGCTGTGGAAGGATGGGCTCTCCCTGGGACAGGCGCCCAGCTCCCTGTCCTGGCGGGACTCCCAGCCCATGTGCTCTCTGCTGTCCCACCTGTGCTCTGTGCCGAGAGGAGCAGGGTCAGTCCCCAGCTCAGACATTCCCCACCAGCCCACCTCTGCTCCCAACACACAAGCAGCCGCCTATTTCAATGCTCAGTTCTTTCCTAAGTCTGGCTGGGACACTAGGGACACAATTTGTGAGGATTTGGGGACTCTGGTAGGTTGGGTGTTCTCCTTCCAGGTCCCGATCCTGATCTATCAACCCTTGTTTTATCATCCTCATCCACCTGGGAGCAAATGCAACTGCCTGGGGCTGCCTGCAGCCTCTAATTCAGGGGACACAGGGGCTGTCAGCTTCCAGGGGACAACGGCACTGTCCCTGGGCTCCTGAGCACAGATCTCCGGAGAGACATCCTTAATCCCCACCCCAGGAGGAAAGAATATGCCAAGCTGGCTGCCAGAGCACTGGGTGAGCTTTAAGGTCACTTCCAACCTAAACCATTCTGTGATTTTAAACAATGCAATTATCGAGGAATTACAAGCCCATGTCATTCACTGCAGGGATGAGCTGCCTGGACAGAGCTGGTGACCCTGAGCCCAGAACAGCTTCAACAAGGAGTGCCCAGGACTGAACTCAGGCCCATGCCAGCTGGTGGGGAGGCTTCAGGTGAGGCTGGTCAGCATTCCAGGCTATTAATAGTATCCCAGGGGGAGCAGGGCTTGGATTTTCACTGCAAGGACTTCCTGCTGCCAGGGAAGCCCACCTTGGCTGCTGCAGCAAGTCATTCCACTGTGAGAAATGTCCTTCATCCTGCTGTCCCGGGAGTTTGAGGTACGGACAAACGGTGCTGCCTGAAGAGCCACGGGGTTTTGCTGCTGCGTGGCCTTTTTCCCCCTCTCCAGCCGTGGGTGGGTTGTAACTGGGGCTCTAGGGAGGGAGAGAGGCTTCTTTAGGATCTTTGGATGCTCAGGGATGAAAGGGGTGTGGTGACCTGTGCTGTGACCTGCTCTCCTGGTTTGTCTGCTCGTTTATGAACAGGGCACCTGTGTCTGGATTAGGAGGGGGTAACCCTCTTGCTGACTTTATTTTCTGTGAATGATGATTTTCTTTCCATTATGGAAAAAAAAAAAGCTTCAGGATGATATGTTTAGTAAAGCAACCCGTGAAGGATACTGGAGAAGGGGAAAGGATGTCTTAAGGCACACTGGGAGTTAAAGGACTCCTTATGGACTCCTTATTTCCCTGCTCAGAGCCAGACATCACACTGTCCCTCCTGCTTACAGGATGTCAAATAATTCTGGTGACAACTGTTTATCTCTAAAGGAAATGGTTTCGAGCTTGTCAGGGGAGATTTAGACTGAATATTGGGTAAAATTTCTTCACTGAAAGGGTTGTCCAGTCCTGGTACAGCTGCCCAGGGCAGTGGTGGAGTCCCCATCCCTGGAGGGATTTAAAAGCCATGTGGATGTGGCACTTGGGGACTTGGGATAGTGATGGCCTTAGGCAGTGGTGGGGAATGTTTGATCCTGATAACCTCAGAGGGCTTGAACAATTCCATGAGTCTATGTTCCTTCCCATGGATGCTGCTGCCACCAACATTCCCCTGTGGGTTTTGCAGGCAGGAGCTCCCCAGGAACCAGGGCTGTCCTTATCCCTGCTAACTCCTCCTGGGAGGTGCTGTGAGCTGAGGGGGAGGGGGCAATTCCAGCAGCACCGTTTCTAAAGGTTTCCCACTCCTTCTGACCTTGAAAAAGCCATTTTCACCTTGCTGTGTCTCAGCCGGGGTTGCTGCTTGCTGTGCCTGCACTGTGTTAGGGGGGATGTGACTCTGCCACGGGGAGACGAGGGAAGTGTATTGTTTTTACAGCTTTTCCTTTGCTTCCCTTCTCCTACCTCAGTAAAAAAAAAAAAAAAAAAAGTTTACATTCAGAATTTAAATATAACATGAATCCCGGTCCAAGGCGTGTGAGAGCATCACGTGGGGCTGTTTATCTCCTAAGGCAGAGGCAGAGTGTGTGAACATAAGGAAACCACTGCCAGGCTCTGGGAACAAGACCCTGAGGTTTCCACTTGCAGGAGGCTCCCTCCCTCCTCCTGCCACCTTGAGGATATTCCTGCCTGATACAGAAGTAGCAAAGAGATTTTGCTAGGGAAGTGGCAGTTTGGGGGTGTCACCTGCATTAAACTGTGGATTTCCACCAGCTTTGCAGGAATTCAGCCCCTCTGCTGCTGTCATTAGATCAGCAGATCTGGGAGGCGTTAGGAAGGGGAAGCAGCTGTTTGGAGCCATGGAAAGGTCCTGGCTGTGCCTGGCACAAGTCTCTGAAAGAACAGGGAGTGCTGGCACTGCTGGGACCAGACAGGGAGCAGAGGGAACATCAGCATCAGCCACAGCTAATCCTGTCTGTGCCAGTCTGTCTGAGCCAAGCTGGCTCCTGGAGCCAAGCATTACAGAAGGAATAACCTTGCTCATCCCTGTCCCGAGGGGCTGTGGGTAGCTGCATCCCAAAGCAGCCCCTGGAAGTACAGCATGTCCTGGGAGATTTGGGTTCTTGCCTCCAGCTCCTCATTCTGCAGCTCTCTTCAAACAGGCAGGACTTTTCTTTGCAGTGGGATTTAAGCAACCTGAGTATTTTTTTAGACATGACATGCACCTGGCTGGGCACTGGTGGATGGTTGGTGGGTACTGAGTAGCTGATGGAGGCAGATGGGCAAGTAGCACACAGCCCGATTTGCTCTGAAATAAGGGCTAAAAGAGCTCCAGATAATCCCAGAACCTGCTGAGGTTTGGGATACGAGCAGGAAGTGACACAGGGATGGGAATTTGAATGGGAACCTGTACCTGGTTGGAGGGGTGAGGCTATAACAGAGAGGGCTCTTTGCTTTTAGCTGATGAGGATGAGGAAGAGGTGGGTGTGTCTGGCAGTGCCTGGCTGGGTGACAGCACTCTGCAGTGGGACTGGGCTGCGTGCCCAGCTCTGGTCTGTAAAGGGGTGTCAAACAAGGAGCAGTCTGGGGAGAAGGGAAGCAGAGCTGGCACAGAACTACCCCAAGGTGCAATATTTCAGTGTTCTCCCTGCACTGTGCAGAGCTTCTCCTTGGCAAGTCAGTTTTATATTCCTTAACTTACTGCCAGGGACTATCTCAGTTGGAAATGCCTTATCCTGATAGGGGGAGGCTCATACTCCTGTTGCCTGTGGTCCACAGAGGCATCCCAATTTATCAGGCTGGCCTGCTCCAGGTATTTTTCCCAGCGTGTCCTCCCCACTTCATTGCTGTGTTTCAAGTAATTGCTGCAAATCCAGGCAGGATTTGGAGGACAAACAAATGGAGCAGCAGAGGGGTCAGTGCCGCAGGGACAACCCTGAACTGCTGAGCCAGCTCAGCCCCAAAAGACAGAGGATGTGGAGATGCAGCTGGGCTGCCTTTACCACCCTGTGGCCCCCCCTTGGCATCCCGCCCCTCCAGATCCCAGCCCTTCCCTCTGGATTGGAGCGCCCTCTCCCCCCCTCCCTGCTCTCCATCTTCATGCAGTCTGCAGAGGTGCATTGTGGGAAACTCCCAAGTTTCCCCCCCCTCTGCCTGCCTCCCTCCCTCCTCTCTGCGCAAGAGCCAGCTCCCAAGGTGTGACTCGTCCGGCCGGAGGACAGAGGTAAGGGGATGCCGCTGGGATATGGGGCGCGGGGTGGAAGGGCCGGGGATCCCGGCTCCGGGATGTGCGGATGTCCTGCGCAGGGCGACAAAGAGAAATGGAGACGTGGAGCGACCTGCCCAAGGTGAGTGTGCACCTCCTGCAGCCGCCCGGGATGCAGGCCGGGGGCTGCCATAGCGGCTGCCTCTGGAGCCGGCACCCCACAGCTTTCCCCGTAAGAGGCGGAAAGTGCCTTTTGGACCCCAGACAAGGAGCACGGTGAGGATGGCCGGCCCCGAGGGGCTCCCTGCCCGTCCTAGCTCTCATGTATTGCTCCCTGAAGGTCAGGCAGCCACGGAAAGTGTTTCTGCTAATGCACGGGTGCCTCCTGCCCGCTTCCTGCCCGCAGCTTCCTGCTGCCTGCACGTACCTGCAGCCTCCGCCGCCTTTGCGAGCTGTGCCGCCCAGCCCGAGCGGAGCCTTTCCGCCTGATCCGAGCCGGGCCGGGCCGGGCCAAGGAGAGGCCCTGGATGCCGCAGCAGGGGAAGCGGAGCCGGCCATGTGCCGGAAACAGGGCTGCTGGGAGGGAGGAGGGGAAGCAGCAGCCCGGGCTGAGCCCCTCCAGCCTCGGCGGCAGAGCTGCTGCGCCTCCCCGGAAGGTTTTAGGCGGTTTTCCAGCTGCTTTCCCTCTCCCATCTGTATGGACCGTGGGATTTCTTTGCCTTTTGCTCTGCCTCCCTCACAAAGGGAAATCTGCCCCCAAAAAACCCAACAGGGAGAAAGATGGCAGAGGCAAGAGTGAATATTGCACCGAAGGAGTGGGAGAGGGGTGGGTACCAGACCAGGCCTCCTGAGTCACCAGGGAGGAAAAGCTTTGGGAATGTCTCAGGCTCCTCAGTCTGATGTCCCTGCTCTCTCTGCATCCGTGTGCATCCCTGTGATGTGTGTTGTCAGGGACCTGTTGATTTGCTCCTGTTTAGTTCTCTGTCCCTCTGGTGGCTTCTGGGGAGGTGCAAAGGGAGAAAGAAGAGGATTTAAAAAATGAATCGAGGTCAGGCTGGCAGAACTTGGGCATTGGGACAAGAGAAGGAAACCTCCCCGCCGCAGCCCCGTTTTCCTGGGTGGGGCTTGGGTAGGATGCCGTCAGGAGAGGGAGGATGGACTATGCCGGATTAAGCTCCTTGCTTCGTTTCAGGACTGACCTCCAAAAGTCTGACCTTCACAGATTTGACCTTCAGTGTTTTCCATCTGTCCTTTCTCAGCCACGGTGCCCAACACCAACATCTAACCCTGTGATATTGTGGTGGGGTGGGGGAAGAAATCCCAATTCTCCCCTAAAAGTGCATTTTCATCCTGCTGCATCTGTCCCCTCCCCTGGCAGGCTGCTGGGATGTGGGGCTGGAGAACACCCTGATACATCATCCCCATCCTGGATCAGGTGTTGGGGCTGGCAGAAGGGGCGGAGGGGAGGGATGGAGCTCTCTGAGCAGGGATTTCCATGCTCAAGGAGCTTTGGCCATCCTTCCCCAGGTTGCTTTCCAGCTTTTTGCTGGGAAGGAGAGTGCCCTGGTGTTGCTGCACAAGGTAAAGGATGGGTTTTACCCCAGAGAGTGTGGGAGCTTCCCTGGAAGGGCTCTGCCTCGTATGGAATTGGCCCCTTGTCTGCCTGCAGTGGCTTCTTAGATTTCAGCTGCAGAGCAACAGTTTTCAGGCTGATGCCTGCAGATCCAGGGGCTGCCAGGTTCCAGACCCAGCTCTGCATGTGAGGAATTAATTCTAGAATCTTTCTGCTGGCCCCAGCTGAGCCACAAAGGGGGTCATGCCGCATCAGGCAGAAGGGATAGATTTAGGATGCCCATAAACTGGGGAGGGATGTTGAATTTGCTGCTGCTTCCTGCAGTGGTTGGGGCTATTTCACTGTGTCACATATATCCCTCATCTATTTTTGCTTGTGGTTATTGAATTTGGGATACAGGACTGGGAGGAAGATACCTTAATAGCAAAGTCTTTGAGAAAGGGAGTCAGCCTTCTGAAGCTGGGGTCTGGGTCATTGTTGCTTGGGAAGCAGCACCCCAATTTGGAAGCATCTGCCCTCTTCCCAAAGGTTTTTCCCAAGTGCTGGCAGGGCTGCGGTAAGGAGCAGGGCTTTGTGGTGGGAAGGAATGAGTGTTCACCATTTCTCAAGAGTCAGAGAATGTTTGCTGACCTTGTCACATTATCCCTGAGCTGGCACCGCAGATAAGAGAGCTGAGCAGGGAAACAAGGCAAGCCCCATGGCCCCAGCCAGGGTGTTGCTGGAATTGAATTTTTGACTCTGGGAGGGCTGGAAAAACATTATAAAGAAATTAACTGAGTGTGTTTGCAAAAGTCAAAACATGAGAGTTGCCCAGGGTAGGGTTCAGGATGTACCCAGTTCCTGTGAGGTGTCACACTCATGGGTTAAGGCTTCAGGATTCCTGTTGCTGCAGTGTCTCCAAAAGTGTTCCCCATTATTGCTCCAGTGCTTTGATCCAGTGTCCTGACAAATAGCTGCCATGGAAAAAAAAAAAAAGTCATCCTGGCTGAATTTCTGTCTTGGACTGAGGGATGCCCAGCCCTGCCAGGGAGAGGCTCAAGATCTAACACCTCGTGTTTTTTGAACTGTAAAAGCTACAGTTTTCCTCTGCTACAAAAAAAAAAAGGAACTATTCAGAGGAAAAGAGAAATCAATTTTGTGTCTGAGGGGTGTTCAAACCCAAGGTTAAAGTGAGATTAGCACAGCTCTGAACACTGCTTTAGAGGCTTGGGGACTTTGTTGGGACCCTGAGGAGCCAGGCTTTGCAGCAGGGTATTTCCAACCCAGCCTCAGCAACGTATTTCCAGGTTCTGTTGAATTCTAGAAATTATTTTGCTGTAAGATGTGTCTGGGAGTGCAAGCTGTATGGGGGAGGCTGGTGGCACTTGAGGGGCCTTGCTAGGTGTGACTTCTCTTGCTGCCAGCAGGCCAGGGCCATGCCAGCTGTGACTCAGTGCCCACCCCTAGGGAGTCAGTCGGAGCACGTGGCTGCAGACAAAATCTTCTTTCTCCCACGGCTGCTTGGCAGTGCCTGGTTTTTGCTGTGCACGTGGCTGTGTACAAACAGGGTGTCTTACCAGGGTAGGTTGGAGCAGTGTTGGGGGTTAAACCCCTCCAAAAATGCACAGGCTGAACCCCTGGCAGGAGTGTGGTGTGTCTGCAATGCTGCCTCCATCTCTCAGAGAATAAAATGTCTGCCACGTCCATCCCAGGAGCTCTTTGGGGACAGGATGTGTGTGGCTTGCAGAGGTGACGCTCAGCTCAGAGCTTGTCATCTGCAGAGGTTGTGGTGTAGAAAAAGACCATATATGTCCTGTTCCTAGGCTTTTTCTGGTGGGGAGACTGAAATGCTGTGTCACCTGTGTGGGCAGCATGGCTGGGCAGCCTCTGGAGAGAACACTGGCAATGGTGTCACACCTCTGTGCAGCTGGTGGCCCAGGGTCTGCATTCCAGAGCCCTTCCCTTTGCAAATGGAGGGCAAAACTGCCTTTGCTGGGCTACAGGAACCCATCCTGTTCCCACACCTCACCTTGGTGCCAGGTACAATGCAATCTCTGAACGTGGACGCCTTGCCCAGCCTGGAGAGAGGGGATGTGGCTTGGTGGCACTGGGAGTGAGAAGGGGGGTCCTGGCCATACTCTGGGGGCTGTGGGGGTGGCAGGTACAGATTTTTGGTCACTGCCAGCACCAGCTGCATGAGTGAGGAGCATGCTGGGGTTCAGAGCAGCTGCAGGAATTGCTGCAGCCATGGAGCAGAGGCTTGGCTGGCAGATCTCCCCCCGTGGCAGCGATTTGAGGCTGCTGCCACTGCTAAACTACTTCCAGCATCTGACACCCTCCATAACAAGATTCAAAGGGCTTGTTTGAGAGGGGAATGTTTAATCCAGGGATGGGGGGAGGGATATGGGGAGAAACAAACAACAGATTGGAAAAAGGATTCATAAATATCTCATCAGAGTGAAGTGGGTCACCAGTGTTTGCTGTGACTTGGTGCTGCTGACTCTGAGGGCTGGATTTGGGAGGGCTGGGAAGCACAGCAGGCTCCTGTACAGTCTGTCCCTGGTTGTGCAGCACCGAGGCCGTTCAGCAGCGTCTGTGACAAGTGACTCTGCTGGCGTGGGGTTTGCGTTGTGTTGTGTCACGTTTGCCGTGCGTTGCGTCAGGAGCTGGGGGCTGAAATAGACTGGAAGGGAGCTAAAAATCCTCCTTGGGGAGCTGCTCCTGGCAGCTGAGAGAACACAAGCTCCTTATGTAAAGCTGCTTTAATATTTATGGTAATATCAGAGGCGGTGCATTACCTCATCCATCTTCGCTGCCCTTCTTGGGCATGGGGAAAGGCTTAGTCACTACTCTGCTGACCTTCTCCTGGGTGCTTGCTTGGCATCTACCTGCTTTTGATGCATTTATTCCTCCAGCAGCTTGGAAAAATGGAGAAATGCTGCTTTTCCTCATTGGGAATGGGGAGCTGAAGTACCGGGAGTGCTGCTCAGTTGCAGGAGGGGACTGGACACAAATCCCTCCAGGCCTGACAGACCACTCCGTTTGTGACAGAGGGGACAGGTACAGACCCCAAAGGACAGTCCCAAAGGACAGGGTGGTTCAAGCTGCATTCCTTAGGGATTAGAGGTGGAGGAGAGTGGGATGGTGAGAGTGCTGGGAAATGAGCTCCCTCTGCTGCACCAGAGCCACCTTTGGTGCCTGCTGGTGTTTCCTTAGGGTGAGCAAGGGTCTGTCTGTCCTGTGCATGAGGGGATGAGTGCCTTTCTTCCAGACAGGCAGGAGTGACAAAGAAGGGAAGAGGAGATTAGGGGATGAGGGGGAGGATTTGAAGATAAAGTGTTTCATGTCGTCTCTGGCTTTTTCTGCACAGCATTGCTTCTGGTCAGATATGGTCAGTAGCTATTTCCAAGATGGATGTTTCCAACTGGAGGACACTTGGAGTCTAGGGATGGACCTTTGTTTCAGGATAAATCATGATACATAACCCCACTGTGTTGTTAAATCCTTCCTTGCTGCCAGTTTCAGTGTAGCAGCCAAGGACCTGATGGAAATGCCTTGCTTTTCATGGCAGAGGGAAAAGCCCCATGGATGAGCTTCCCACTGCACCCCCGACCCACACCCTGGAGCAGCTCCTCCATCGTGCAAAGTGACTGACTTTTCCTTCCAAATGGAAGCAGTAGGGGAGGATGAGAGGATTTGGAGATGGGATGGGGCTGGTGTCTGCAGAGGGAAGGGGCCATCCAGATGGAGCTGTGCTGTGTCACAGATTTGGAGATGGGATGGGGCTGGTGTCTGCAGAGGGAAGGGGCCATCCTGATGGAGCTGTGCTGTGGCACGGCTTAGCAATGACTCATCGGTGCAGGATTGATGCAGCTTTCATCTGTGCAAAGAGGAGACAGATGAATAGATGTGTTTGGTGATTTGCTGGGGTTTGAGGCAGGAAAAGTGCCCTTCAGTGAGCAAGAGAAGCTGTTCCTGTGCTGGCCTGTTGCTCCGGCGGAGGGCAGCTTGTTGCGCTGGGTGAATCCGACTGCACTGACCTTGAGAGCATCCCAGGGGAGCTGTGGCGTTTGTGTGCCAATCTTTGCAGCAGCAGCAGCAATTTGGAAAGCTTTCCTTCTCCTCCTTTGTCATCCCTGGTTTTATTATGCCAGCTCCCTTTTCCCAGCCTGGGAAAGAGCTGGTTAGTTGCTGGCAATGAGAACCTTCCAGAAAGGGCACTGATTGTTAAACAGAAATAGCATGGAGCAGGGAAAAGGGAGAGAATGAAGCCTGTCTCCCACAAAATCTTATTCCCAAATGCTGCTGCCTGTGTAGGAGGCAGAGAGGGAGCTGGAAGGGGGAGGAATGGGTAGACAGGCAGAGACAGCAGCTGACAAGAGGAAAGGGAGGAATAAAAAGATGTGAGGAGCTATAAAGAAGAAAGCAAAGGTAGGAAAATGTGTCACTAGAGAAAAACTTGGTGTGATGGAATGAGGGAAGAGGAGGAGACAAAGGAATGGAGGGAACCCTTATATGCAGGCTTAATAATTTGAAGTAAGGAAAGCACCTCTTTCTTCAGTCTGGAGGAGATGGAGGTGCTTAAAGATGAGCCCATGGCCATACCCTTGGAAGTACAGGATGGAGAGGAGAGATGATTCCCAAGGTAGGGAGCTAAGAGCACACAGAAGTGAGCTAAGCACTGGGATGGAAAAAGATGTGCTGCTAAGGGTACCCAGGAGCCAGAGGAGGAGCCAGGCCAGAGGGTCTGGAGAGGTGCTGGGTGATCCTGTGGCTTCTTGCAGTGATGGAAAACCAGAGACAAAAGCTCTTTTGTGTGGGCACTTAAGAACTGCCGATATTGATTTTTGGCTTAGTTTGGTTTCTACATCTTTTAAAACCTTTTCTAAGCTGCATGATGGGTTTGTGTTGCTTTTAGTGGAAATGCACTTAGAATCAGGAAATTTTGTTTGTGGCAATGCAGGGCATGGTGGCAGGACAAAGCTCCTGGCTCCATGGCTCCAAGCAAAACCAGCTTTCATGCCCCCAGGAATCTGGATCAGTGAGGTGGATAAACCTTGAGGTGCCTGGGCTGTGCAGGGTCCCCATTTCTCAGCAAAAAGTTGAGTTTGCCCTCTCTGATTTACCTCATGATCTCCATGATTTTCCTAGGGAAGGAGCAGAAGTTTAATGCTTGGTCCATGTGCTGTAACCACACGAATGTCAGTGTGTGAGTGGCCCAGTTAATTGATATCAAAACAACAAAGAAGGTAAATTAATATTTATGCCATGATTAATCTGACTCTCCCTGCTTTAACCTCTGAGCCCACTTCAGCTGTGGGCTCTGCTTACTATTTCTTTATGTCTCATTGTACCAGATTGAAAAAAAAAAAAAAAAAAAGGATAAACTGGTCCCAAACCAGAGGAGCAGAGTCCTGGAAGTGACTGTGTGCAGCCTCAGCTCTGGATTTATGTAGGACTTGTGCTGACAGAGTAGTATGGATGCTCTCTGGAAAAGATGAGGCAGGTGATATCTACAGAAGTATTACAGAATGAGCACTGAGAGGAAAATATTCTTGCACTTGGCCAGGCCCTTGCTTCCCTCCCACGCCCTAAGCCACAGTGAGGCCCAAAGCTGGGTGAGCATCCGGGGTGGTATTTGTGTGGTACAGGATGCCCACATGTCTGATACATGCTCAGCAAGCCGTGAGAGAGGCACAGTTTCGGCTTTCCAAAAAGTTTAATATCCCAAACTAGGGAGTACAAGCAATGCCCAGCTGCAGTCAATGAGAAATATGGGATTTTACGGTCACCCAGCCTAGTGCAGTGTGAGGAGCTGGTCTGGAAGTCCTTGTGGGTCCCTTCCAACTTAGGATATTCTATGAGAGTTGTAAAATTCCATGATTTTGGTGCTGCAGTTCCCTCAGTCTGCTCCAGCTGATGGCACTGGAGCAGCTGGTGTCCACCAAGCAATGGCTGGCAAGGGAGAGCAGAGGAGGGAGGTGTTTCTATCTTAGGAACCATAAGGTGTTGCTCGGCTTTGCTCTAGTCCCAAATGTGCCATTTCTGTGAGATTTCCTCCATTCCTGCCTAAATGGAGATGAAAGCCCCATGTTTATCAGCCTCTTTCCCAGAAGAATCAGCAGCACAGATCATTGCTGCAGTCCTGGGACTTCATTCCTGTCATTAGAGGAGTGATCTGCCCTCTGAGCTGCTGTGGAAGGAACCTTTGCTGGCTGAGGTTTTTGAGGAGCCTCTTCAGCTCTCAATCCAGACAATGAGCTCTGATTTCACTTAGCAGGCAGAAAGCTCCTGGCAGCCCTGAAGGTCAGCAGGGAGCCAGCAATGCTGGTGGCTCAGATCCGATGCTGCCTCCTGGTTACTCTTTATTTTCCAAGCTTGGAGCTGATGTGGTGCTGAACTGTCAGAGCCTGCTGGCAAAATGCCCAATGTATTGTCCTCTTCTCCCATCACATGGAAGTGCAGCCACAGGAGCTCCATCCTCAGCTCACCCAGCCCTGCCAGGTTTGTGGGGTGAGGTTATTGTGGTAGTTTTACTTCCCCTTAAAGCCCACTTTTTCCCTTTGCTGAATTCCCGTGGTACAGCTGTGCTGTTCACCACTTCCACCAGTTGCCTGGGGAAGACAGATCCAGCTGATCACCAGCGTCCTGTTTGGCTCCATGGGCAAGTCCAGCAAAGTCCATCTCCTGAAAGGAGATGACAGGACTGAGACATCTCTATCACCAAGAGATCCAGCTCTGCAGTAAATCTGAGCAGTCAGTTCTCTGTTTTGCTGTTGCTCTACCAAAATGCTAGTAGAAATAATCTTTTTATCTCTGATACCTGTGAGAACTGAGGAAGTAATTCTGGTTTCCTGCAGTACCCATCTGGAGGGAGAGTATCACACAGGACTACATATTAACTGCTTCTAAAATGGGTCTCTGGATAGTGCTGCCAAAGGAAGCGTGGAGGGTGAGACAGGCAGGGAGAATCTATCCATCTGCTTTCCCATGGAACAAAGTGTTCTCTCCTTACCCAGAAGGAATTGAAAGGGTGAGCAAAGGCAAAGTAAGGTTTATGTGGTTGGATGGTTGGATGTGAGTTTGTCATTGCTGACAAATGGCCTCACACACACAGCCAGGATGGACTTGGACTAGGGATGCCCAGAAGTGGCAGTCATAGATGACAGTCAGTCCAACTTGTTTGATGTTCCTGTTTGATATTAGGGAAAAAATCCTTCCCTGTGAGGGTGCTGAGGCCCTGGCACACATTGACCAGAGAAGCTGTGGCTGCCCCATCCCTGGAAATGTCCAAGACCAGGCTGTACAGGGCTTGGATCCCTCTGGTCCAGTGGAAGGTGTCCCTGCCCGTGGCACAATCAAGGTGAGTTTTAAGGTCTCTTCCAACCCAGGCCATTCTCTGTTTCTGTGATTGTTACAGGCACATAGCCTGTAGTAAATGCTTTGAATGGAGTTCACAGTTCTGAAAGAAGAAGCCAACAGCTTTCCAGTCTTCCTTTCTGTCCTCTTCCGTCACCTCCAGGCAGAGCAATGCTGGCTTGCTCTGCCCTGTCACTCACCTCTCCTTGTTCTGCTTTCCCCTCCAGGTGCTGTACCATGTCCAGGTAGGACACTGCCAGCGTAACAGGCGTCCCAAGACAACTGCTCCCAGGCCTTGAGCTCGGGTGGCTCCTCTGCTTCCTGCAGCAACCGGGCAAGGGAGAAGAGCTGGGATAGCCCCACGTATCCAGTCGCTGCCCACAGCACCCCTAGGATGGATTCCAAAGGCAACGTCCGAAGCGGAAACAAACCTGACGCCAAGGCCGCCAGCTCCGGGAAGCCAGAAAAACCCAACCCTGCGCCTGCCACCAATGCAGACAAGAAGGAGGCCCCCAAAGAGCAGCCTGCTCCTGCCACGGCCACCAAGAAGGCAGGCGGGGACGCCGCCATCGCCAACAACCACAGCAACCTGAAACCCAGCCCCGCCGCCACGGAGACGCAGGAGGCCAGCGGCCAGTCCCCTGACTCTGACCACAAGGGAAACAGCTCCGAGGAGTCACCGGGCAGCTTCTTCGACAACATGAAGCCCTTGATCATCGTCGGAGGAGTGGCGGTGGCCGCGCTGGCTGTGATTGTGGGAGTGGCATTCCTAGCCCGGAAAAAATGAAGACCGAGACGGGGTGGGGATGAGAAACCCAGCCCAGCTGTACAGCTCCTTTTGAGACAAATGCATGCAGAGAAATTCTATACATAGCTATATATATAGAGAGCGAGCTAGATAGGTCAACAACAAACACCAACTGCAACTCCAGGGTCTTGTTCAAGACAACTGTGCCAGTCTGACCCGCTGTGGGTAACTCCATGCACTCAGTGTGTTCTTTCATGTAATATATCTTGGCTTATACCGCTGTGTATAGATTACAGCTTCTCCTGATCGGTGTAAATGACGGTGTCCCCTCCCCTCCCCTGCTGTCCTTCCTGGGAGACACCCCCCTCCCCCGCCCCTTGCAGTCCTGTTTTCAAGTCCAAAGTGTTCTACGTCCCATTTGGAGTCCCAATTTGTGTTTTGGTTTCTGTTTGGTTCTGTTTTATCTTGGGCTGTGGTAAAGAAGATGGAAGGGGAGCGCTAAGGCCTGGCTCTCCTGTCACACTGGGCTGGGGGTGTCTTCTCAGCCCCCCTTGGGACAAGGGAAGCGCAGGGGCAGTGGCTGGGAAGAGGCAGCTCCCTGACCCAACAGCCATCCCTAGTCGGTGTCTGTGTATCTGCCCCTCATCATCCCACCTTGGAACACCCGCCTGGGAAGTGCTCCAGAGGAACCAGGGAGGCTGCGGCGTGGCAGAGCCGAGTGTGAGCCTGGGATGTCACATCAGGTCACTCTTCTGGCTGAGCTGCCAGTGGGACAGTGACCAGAGGGGTTGTGCTGTGGCCCAGAGAAGTCCCAGTGCAGCCTTTAGTATCCCAGGGCTCGCCAGGGTCACATGGGCAGCATTTGGAATAGAGAGACTTTGTTTTGGATCTAGTATTTCCTAAAGTTAGGCTGGGCTTTGCAGGGTGCTGTGGGCTCAGTCCAAGCTCCCTCGAGGCTGGCTGGGCTATGTGAGTTCATTTTTTTGGGATTTGGATAAGGCTTTTCACTGGATTTTTTTTCCCCACTGAAGCCTGTGGTCTCTCAGCACATGGGAAGACAGGAAAAGGGGGAGACATGAGCTGGTGTTAGGAGCAGAGAGGACCTGGGACCCCATGAGAGTAACACTGACCTACCTGCTTTATGCCAGAGAAATCCCTTTCAAGGGCACTGGAGTATGTCCCGGGTGGATTTCTTACCTCCCTCTTGTGACAGAAGTAGTAGGGATTTGTAACTCATCCACACTTTGGAAATGGAATCAATTCCCAGTCTTCTGGAGCAGCCTGATTTCATGGGTGAGTACCTTGGGTCTAAAGCCAGACTTTGTGAGGGGGAGGAGAGAGGATGTTTAGTGCTTTGGCCGATGCTCAGCACTAAACAGTGAGAGGCGAGGAGTTCTGCCTCTGAAAACTTCCATTAGGCTTTTCTTGGCTGCTGCAAAACAGCCAAGTTATAAAAACCCCTTACATTTTGGGTTTAAGTTGGGTCAGAGATGAGGTCCAATGGGAACTTGGCAGCAGCCACAGGGGCTGTGACACAGTGGGGTGAGTTCTGTTACAGAGCCCATTGTGCACCTTTAACTGGGATGGATGGATGGATGGATGGAGGAATTCAGGGGTTGCAGGGACAGAGGGAGGTGTGCATTCCTCAGGTGCTGCCTATGCAGTGTCTGCCTCTGGCACAGTCCCTGGACGGGCCAGTGAGGAGGTATAACCTGACCTGGCAATTCTTCTCTTGGCTTGTGCCTGTCTTATTTACCTCCAAATCTGACCTGCTGAATGCACATGGTCTTGGAATGCACGGCTACTCCTATGGTGAACTCAGAAACTATTCCCAAAGGTGTATGGCCTCTGGGAATATCAATCACTGTGTCCTGATGAAACTGGAAGTTAATGCTTCCACCTTTGCAAGCACAGAGATAGGAGCAAGCATGTTGGGCTCACAGGAATTTTGGGAAGCAGGGCTACAGCTCCAGGTGAGATCCTGGTAACCTAAAACACTCTTGGCATGAGTTGTGGATGTGTTCCCAGCAGCAGTGTGTCACAGCCTGGGGAAGGGTTAGAAGCAGAAAGGTCCTCCTCTCCCCTCGGAAGCACAACTTTGCAGGGGAATTTTCACAGGGAGTTTTGCTTACATTGCTCAGAGGGAAGGGAAATCACCCCCTCCTACTCTGGTTCATGTTTTGCCAAATAGGGTGATGATTTTCAGACAGTGACGTCAGTTTTCAAGAGATGTTTCTACCTTTCCTGCCCCCTCCCTCCCTCTCAGCTCTGGCCTAGGATTGTTTTTAGCAGCGTGTGACATTAGGCACAGCATCTATCTATTCTGCCCTGACCAGCATAGATAGATTGGGCAAGGAAAGTGAAGCACCCGCTCCACTCAAGTCTCCAGTTTTTCTAAAATGTTTTTATTTTCTTGTCTTCACCTTTGGCAACAGAAGAGGGAAAAAACAGTTCCCAGCTAATAGCCTTAACCTTTTCTCCATCTCCAAGCCCCACCTGCCCTTAGAGCACTCGGATGCAAGGCAACCAGTTTCATCCAGAAGCACCACAGAGGTGGTGATGGGGCTGCAGCTCCTCATCAGAGCATGTTGCTCATTAGAGCCCTCCCAGCTCGGCAAACCTGGTATGTTCTGTTTGTAAGGGGTTTTTGAACATGGTCTTTCCTGTTCCCAAGGGATTTTCCACTTCCTGTGATCACTTAAGAGTCTGCTGTTGAGGTTCAGCTCCTGGAACCCACCTCTTTGGCAGTTTGGTTTGGAAAAAACCCGTCTGTGTCTGTGTGTGTGCCTTGAAGCACATCCTGTGTGTGTGTGTGTACAAACCTTCATGTTGCATTGCTGCAGTCTGGGAGGGGGAGAGAATCCAAGCTGGAGATGCCCCTTCCTTCCTTGCCTGCATTCACACTAAGTGTCCATGATGTCTTTTCTGTGCCATTCCCACTACGCCATGCAGCTCCTCAATTCCTTTTTGGTCCTGGTTTATCCTCAGTGCAAGGAATGTCTGGCTGGTGAAGTGCTGAGTGTGTGGTGTGCTTGGAGCCCTGAGCCCCTGCTCCCCAGTCATGTGGGCTCTTTGCTTTAAAATGAGGCACTTTTAGACTATCCTGGACTGTGCTCTAGCGCTTTTCCAAGTGTGGGTCTAGTGTTGAGCTGGGCAGATCCAGCGTAGATGCCCCAGCGCGCCGCAGCCCTGACTTGCAAACAGCTCCTGTCCTGCCTTACTGTGCCAGGCTGTGCAGTGCTTTCCTTCTGAGCCAAAAATGTCCAGCGAGCACCAGGCCGAGGGAGCAATCCCCCTCTCTCAGCCCCAGCTCTGTCGAAACAGAAGGCTTTAATGACTGACCTCGCTGTGCTAAATAAATAGTTGTCTTTTCTTGTACTGAGCACACGCCGTTATTTGCTTGATGTCCTCCTTTGTGTGGTTTTTGTGGTATAAAGTCCTTCCAGTGACATCTCCATGGGGACAGTGAATTAACATTTAAAACTAATCAGAGTCTGTGCTTGGGGTTTGAAGAGATCTAGATTGCTAGTTTACTCTTTTTATCAAGTTGATAAATTAAATATTGGCAAAATTGGTTTCAGACCTTTCAGCTTAGCACCAAAACTCTCAACTGAATCACTGCACCCAATCTCAATCTCTTTTTAGGGAATCATAAATTTTAGTTGAATATAAAGATGTCATTTTGCTGTCTTGGACAACTCAGTAGAAGGTTTTTGCTGCTTCTATTTTAAGAGAGATTAAATGGATTATGCTTCTGCTTCCTCTTCCTACTGATTTAATACCCTGTAGCTAAATCCTGTTATTCCTAACGGTGTTGCAGTAGGATGAAAACAAATCTGGAAGCTGGGGGATTATGCAGCAGCATTTTTGGGAGGGCAAGAATGCATTCCTGTTTGCCTGTGGCTCACTTAAAACACTCAACAGTCAGTTGCCCTGAAGTATTTCTTAGGGGCTGGGTGATAAATTAAGCATCCATTTGTGTCTCTGATGGTCTAGAGTTTGAAGGTTGAGCCATAGGATACTGAAAACAATGGGAATTTTTCCATTGGTTTCACCATGCTCCGGCCTTTGAGTTCTTGTTGGCACCAGGGATATGATCACAGGTCATCATAAAATCATCTCAATTACACATTTGTTTTTCAATTGATACAAATGTTCCTTAGGCTGAGCGTAAAGGAAGTCTGTTCTCTGAGGCAGCCCTGCTTATGATGGTATCAGGATTTGTGTATGAACAACAGCAGTGTAACCAAAAACTCCTGGAGCTGGTGAGAGATGATTTATGCCTTAAAATATTCCCTACTTTTCTTGGAAATGCTACTGGGGTTTAGAATTCAGCGGCCTTCTAACTATTCTTAGAATTGGTTGAAAATAACAGTGCTGGAGATTGGAGAAGAAAATTATTCTTCAAGAAATAAACCAAAAAAGGAAGGCAATGAAAAAATATGTTTGAAAGGTGAAATTTTTGGAATTTCAATCAGCTCCATGGAAAGCTTTGAGTCAGTGAAGATTCTGAGAGGGTACAAGGAACAGAGCAGAGAAGTGGAGAGAAAAAGCACTATTTAATTATCTTAATAGCTTTGGTAAGGACATCCTAACTTTTATATCCTCTTCCCCCCTTTTTTCTTCCTCAGAAAAAGGCAAAAATTATGAGCTCTGGTGCCATGCAAATTAACCTCTGCTAATTGCCTTTTCCAGATGAATTCCTGCTGGCTCTGTGCAATGTTAAAGGGTTAGAAAAATACCTGAAGTTTTCTATAACCAACCTTGCATGATTCAGGGGAATTGCCAGGACATCAGGAGGGGCTGTATTCTCTTTTCACGTTATGACAAGGACTGCAAAAGCAGCCTGCTCGCACTTCCATCCTCCTGGTCCAGCCTTCATGCTGGAGCAGGAATGCTGATTCCCTTCCCAGGCCTTGCAGCATCACATCCCATTCATGAGCTGGCTGCAGTTCTGCTGCACAGGTTGGGCACTTCCTGCCACAAAGAGGAATTGGCTTTGATCTGGAACATAACAGCTCTGTATTCCAGTAAATTCTCCTTGCAGGACATTGGAATTGGGAATATTTCCTGCTATTTACACGGGCGGTATTTGGTCCTTTACTCTTTTGGGGAGAAATCTGCTGATGCTGAGGATTTGTTGGCACATTTTGGGTCTTATGAGTGACACTTAGCTGACAGCTCCAAAAAGCCTTGGAGCCTGTGCCCCCATCCAGCAACCCTCAGGGGTTTAATCCACTGAATAAGGTGGATTTATGATGACTTCTTCCTCTTCTTTTTGAGACCATCAGTCCGGCCCTTTAACCTGCTTTCCTTTTAAATTCCCTAATTCCTGGGATGTCTGTTCACACCAGGTCTTCAGCTGCTACAAACTGTGGCGTTCAATTGGTTTCTGATCTGATCATTGCTTGTTCTTTCCTCCTCCTTTGGCCACTGCACTGTATTCCCTTTTCTTTCCCTGCTTTCTTCCTGAGCAGCTCTGCAGATATGGCCTCTCCATAGCCCAAAGCTGGGGCAGACTTTGGGTTGTCTAAGGCAGGTGTTAGGTGGGTCCCCCAAAAATACAGGCAGTGCTGGGCCCCCAGACTGTGTCACATCAGAGAATGTGTGGAGCTTTGATCTACCCTCACCTTTGAGGGTCTAAGTCTGCAAGAGGCTGAGTGCTTGGCTGCCACAGGATTTGTAATGGATGACAAATCCCCAGGCAGGTCCCTTCTTGTCCTTCCCTGTCAGTCAGGTATGAGGTGTTCTGGCTGCTTGAGAGGGGCTGACATGGTGTGAGCACAGACTGCGCTTGGCTGCAGCCAGAGCTCCCTCAGCCCTCTGGAGCACCAAAAACAGAGGGAAAAGAGAAGTTTTGAAGTCGAGGACATGTACTTCTGCTGGCCTGGAAGGATCAGCTGTTGTGTCAGGTGTGAGGGTGCAGGAAGTGCAAGGATTGTCTCATTTCAATGAGCTGATCAGGTGTCACTGGGTGATAGGGAAGTGTGGGACATCCAGGCCTCTAAAATTCACATTTCATTTAATTGACCATAATAGGCCTCAAAATCTTGCGAGAGATGAGAGCCTTTGGCTTTCCAAATTCATGAGTTTGGATCTACCTTGTGCTATAGCTCTGCTGCCTCCTCTGGATAGTGTGTGCTCTGATATGCAGTGCTCTGGGACTCGTGCCCTCTTTGATGCTCTTCAAATTAAATAGACTTTTTTTTTTTTTTCTTCTTTTTTTTTTTTCTGAAGAGCATAACATGGGTTAAACAGGCTTTGGACTGGCTGTTCCTATTTCTCTTCTGGATATTCCCAGCTTGCAATTCTCAAACAGTTCCATCACTTTTCCATTTCCCAGCTTCAGTGCAGCATCCCAAGCATGAATGTACAGGTTCTTTCTGTGTGATGATGCTGCAGCACCAAAGGTCCCACCAGGACAAGAGGAATCTTAAATCACCTTTCCACCAGTCATGTCCTGCATCATATCCCTGGTTCTGCCATGGCTGCTTCAAGCAGCCAGGCTTCTGGGGCAAGTTGATAAGAACAAGGGTGCCACACAATTTTGTTTGGTTAAAAACCAATCAACTAACCAACATGGGAATAATTTGGCTTTACTGAGTTTTGAGCAGCCCTTCATAACCCTGGTGCCTTTTCCCAGGACTGTTTCAACTGAAGCTTTTAAAAGTTGCAGTTTCACCTCCCCAGGAAACCAACTCTCTTCCAGTGGTAGGTGCAGGTTGGCTATCAGTTTGTGGAGGAACTAAAATTTTAGGAAGGGAACTCGAAGGTCAGATTACAGGGGATTTTTATTTTGTTTTTGGTTTGTTTGGATTCTGTTACTTCTTCAGGGACTGATCCAAAGCCCTCGAAAGTCAGACTGAAATGCCTGCTGTTCCTTTGGAAGCCTCAGACACCTTTCCAATGATGTCGGTGGGTTTTGAATCAGCTCCTGAGTGTGTTTTCCAAATGATAGGAATTTTCCAATTGACGCCTTGATTTCTTCCCTGTACAACCAGACCTGCTTGTCACTTACCTGTGTTCAATGTACAGGTTTGGGGTTTTTTTTTGCTCTCAGAAACAATATGCTGCTAGACACATTTCCTGGAGGGAAATGGACACCTACCTACACACAAAGCTATCCAGCTAATTTATACCTTGTTGAATTTATAATCTTGTCTATGCTTCTATGGACACTTTGTATGGGCTGCAGCTCAAATCCTAAAATAGTCAAGAATTTTTTCCTTTCCCATATAGTATTCTATTTACTTTGACTTTGAAAACAAAAAAAGCGTATAAATGCAATAATGCAGGTAGACTAGAAATACTAGATTGAAAATTTAAAGTAGTTTAGCTTGTCCCATTGTGACTGACAGTGTTGTATGACACCCAACGCTGTACCCTGACATTTTCCAGGCTTTCTCCGTAGCTGAATCTAGTATTAGCTTTGGAAACCCATTGTGTGAGTGGTGGGTGGATGGGTTGGAATCGTGTGCTCTCTACACACTGTATGTTACTCACATCACAAGCTGTATGGCCACTCCATATGCTGTGAAACTGTAAATGATTCCCAAATACACCTGTAACTCTTACCAGGATTGTGAGAAATAAACTATATATAGATATATATACACACACATAGAGAGATTGTATAATTCCTCCCGTGAGCATCTTTGTGTACCTGGGGCTGTGAGTGGAACCTGCTGTGCCCCCTCTGGACGTTGTCTGGAGAAAGCTGTGGCTGCCCCATGCCTGGACATGTCCAAGGCCAGGGTGGACGGCGCTTGGAGCAACCTGGGATAGTGGAAGGTGTCCCTGCCCATGGCAAGGGGTGGAACAAGGTGAGCTTTAAGTCCCCTTCCAACCCAACCCATTCTATGATTCCTGGATTCTGTGTCTGTGTTTCCCAAAGGCTCAATGTTTTCTAGGTGATCCCACTGAGAACTGTGAGAAAAGGCAATTCCTGCCCCAAATAAACTCCAGCCTGCCCAGGGAAAGCAGGCAGAGGATGATTATTGTTATTCCCAGATAGGAACTAAACTGAATTGTAGATTTACCCACAGACACAGGGGAAACATTTGTGATCCCAGAGATTCCCTGTCCTTCAGGCTGGTCTCCAGCCTATTGTTTGCTATGACCTTTCTCCTGGCAAAATCTCTCCTGCTGATTTTCTGGTTTTGTTTCTAAGATGGCCTGGGAATACCTCCCAGACAAACCATCCCCTGAGCACTGGGTGATGTCTGTGGGGTCCCTGTGCATGGATTCCCTCCAGGCTCTCGGAGGGGAGGAGGGTTTTGGCAGCATGTGTCACTGCACAGGGTTGATTTTCTATTACACCAGCTCCAATCAGGGTCTTGACAGAAGCCTGCAGGCTTTCAGAAATTAATTTTTTAAGAACTGGGCAGAAAAATCCTGTAAATTCCACAGGGTCGGGGAAAAGGGCATCCTTCAGCTGCAACAGTGTAATCATCTGAGGGTTTTGCTGTAGAAACACAGCTGGAGACTAGAGTTTTAGTTTGTCTTGACAGGAGCAGGAGATCAAATAAGTTCCGATTTTCTGAGTGGGAATGCTGGAGCTGAGAGGCTGGGATGGATGGGGGCCTGACCCTCCCGCTGTCCCCAGTCAGGGTGTGTGGAATTGCACATGCCTGGGGCAGTGTAGGGAGGATGGGAAGAGCTGATGGAGCAGGAGTTGGACAGCACTGTCCTTTGTGCTTGTTTAAAAAGCACTGGAGTCACAAGCAGAGAATGAGGACCATAAATGTGATGCTCTGTGATATAAAGGCTGAGGCTGCTGGAGTGGCACTAAATCCCAGAGTACCCCACACAACAGCGAAACTGAATAGTGAATGAGATGTTTTTTTCCCCTTTTTAAAAAGAATTTTCTGGTATCTAAACTGGAGTGGTGAGGAACACCCAGATTAACCAGCCTACAGATTCAGAACACAGCTCTGGAGAGAAAAGGAAGTGGACAGATGACTGAAGAGATGGACAAGGTGGTATAAGCTACATTTCCTTTAGGAAACCAGGCTAGAAATTAAGCCTTTTCCAATAAACAAATAAAGCCAATAGCAGAATTGTGCTGTCTTTATTTTATACCTTCCATTTTAGAACGGCATCGTGTCTGTAACACACCCGCAAACAGCACGGGATAAACCTATTAAATTCACGCAGGGATGACAGACGCAAACCCAGAAATGGCACACTGAGGTTTACAAAAGTGGGGAAATAAGGAAACGGTGACAGTTGCCGATGGTTCGTGGCACCGGGGGACCCTCGGGACACCCGAGGGCTTTCAAAGCGGACGGCGGCGGCAGCGCCCCCTCAGCGCTTCCCGCGCTTTTCCACCTCCCTCAGGGGAGCGTTCCCCGCCCCTCAGCGCTGCCCGCACCGCGCAGGCGCGGCCGCGCAAGGCTCCGCCGCTGCCCTCAGGCCCCGGCGCGGCCCGGCCCCGCCATGTCGGACCGGCTGGCCAAGCCCTCCTGCCTCATCATCGCCAGCGCCGCCACCGCGGGTGAGACGCTCTCGGGGGAGCCCCGCCGGTTTCGGGGAGAGCCGCCGCTCCGGCCTCTGCGGGTGTCCCGCGCTCCCCGTCCCTTCGCAGCGGTGCCGCGCTGGGCTGTCCCCGGTGTGGTTGTGGCGGCGGGGCCCGCCCCACGGGCCTGGCCGTGTGCATGTCCCGTGTGGTGTCACACCGCAGCCGGGCTGTGCAGCGCCCCGTGTGCCCTCGCTGCGCAGCTGGGCTGGTTTACCCTACGTGCACATCCGCGCTGCAGGTGCGGCCTCCGTGTGCAGCTGTGCTGGCTGGCTCCTCTGCGGGCGGCTTTAGTGGCTTTGAGGGGAAGAAGAGTCGGCTCAGATTGAGTGTTAGGGGAAAGAATCTTTGCCTGTGAGAGTGCTGAGGCCCTGGTGCAGATTGCCCAGAGAAGCTGTGGCTGCTCCATCCCTGGAAGGGTTGATGGCCAGTTTGGACAGGGCTTGGAGCAATCTGGGACAGTGGAAGGTGTCCCCGCCCGTGGCAGGGGGTTGGTACGAGATGGGCTTTATGTCCAAATCATTCCAGGATTCTATTCCTCAGCACACAGCTCGCCTGTAATGAAGGCTGTATGTTTCTGATGTCTTAAAATCATTAAGTCATAACAAAATAATCCTCTGAAATTATCTAGAGCTTTCAAGATGAGCAAACACCCAAACTTACATACTTTTCTGGATGAAGTGTGGCCTGCATTAAACTATCACTGTTGTTTCCCTAAGGTGTTGGCATCTGTTTTCCAGGTGTTTCAGCCCAGTCATTCCTTCACTGCTTTACTCTGGCCAGCTCTGCCTTTAACCTGCAAGTGGCAACACCTGGGGTGAGTGAGAATGGACAAATACTGCGATTTCAGCCTGAAACTAATTGATATCTAAGTTGGCATGAGATAATTATACCATAAATATATTGAGAGGTGTTTTATTGGCTGTAGACATCAAGGGACCTGTTTAATTCTGTTTTTTGAATACCCAAGTTACTGCAACCTTTCTGAAGTGTGGATTTGGACTTTTATGTTCCCACAAAGAGTGGAGGGAAAGCTATTAACACTAATTCAGTGGGAAAAACAGAAAACTTCAATTTTTTGAGAGCTGAAAGCATCTCAAAATCCCACATGGCCATCCTTCAGGAAGTGCCATGGATGCTTGTGCAGTGATCCTGAGCATGAACCACGTTATCTGCAGGGGAAGCCCATTGATTTTGTGGATGTGAACGAGGGCAACATGCGCTGGATCCAGGACTTCCGCATGAAATCCTATGCCAACCCCGCCAAGCTGGAGTCCATTGATGGTAAGGGTGTCACCATGGGCCACTGTCTGGGAAACAGGGCCTGCTTAGGGCCAGGATTTTAGGGCAGAACAACTCAGAAAAGGCAGGAAAGGTGTGTTTCAAGAACTGCAGGTGTTGGTTTACCTTTTATTTAAGAGGAAGTCCAAGCAACTGCTTTGCAATTTTGTTATTTATTTTGGAATGGTAATTCTCTTTTAATATGTATGCAGTGTATACAAATAATGTCTGTGTTGTATATAAGCAGACACTAGATTCTTACTTGTTAAAAGTAAATATTCTGCTGGAGCAGGAGCCAGCAGACAGTACAGTTGTAAGTTTTGCCTGGATCATAATGAGTAATTAAAAATGTATGTTCCTTGTCATAAGAAGGATCTTTTTCTTTCCTCTGTGTACCTCTGTTAGTTTATTTAGGTCATTTTTAACTGATTTATGTGGGTTTGTCCTTTTTTTCCCCAAATGTGCAGTGGATTTATGGTCAGGCTTTTTGCGTTTTTTTACCTGTCCTACAATCAGTTCCTGCTTTCCTCCCGCCCAGGGGCTCGGTACCACGCCCTGCTGATCCCAAACTGCCCCGGGGCCGTGACTGACCTGGCCAACAGCGGGTACCTGGCCAAGATCCTGCAGCACTTCAGCACTGAGAGCAGTAGGTGAACATCCTTGGGGGTTGGGTAAATGAAACAGGGCTCCTGTGCTGCCTCTGCAGGAGCCTTGGGCCTTCCAGGCACTTCCGAGTGTTTGCATGGCTAAAGAGCATTCCAGACTGGGAAGACAAAAGGAGATGTCAAGGAAGGAAGCAAATGTCTTAATGGGCCTTTGAAAAAGGAAAGGGAGACTTAGGAGGAAATAAAAAAGTGTCCTAAAATGTCTTAAAAAGGAAAAAGGGAGTCCTAAATGGAAAAAAAAAGTGTCATAACGTGTCTTAAATAGGAAAAAGGGAGGCTTGAAAAAGTGATCTTAAAGTATCTTAAGGAGCAGTGCCAATAGCTTTTCAGAGCTTGTCTCAGAAGAAGGATTTGCTGCCTTACAGTGGTACAGAAACAAATCAGCAGCATTCAAGGCTCAGAGCCAAGTGTGGAATGTCCCAGGATCATCATTAAGGCTGTAGTTAATCAAGACTTGGGGTATGCTCCACATTTGAGCATTTGTGGAGCTGTCTCTGGACTTGGAGTTAAAAGCTGCAATTCTTGTTCTTCCTCTTACTGTAATAACAATAAAATAACTGTAGTAATTCTTATGATAGACAATAATTGCTACTGCAGTGTGCAGGAAAGGCCCTGCAACCTAAAGGAGCATTATCAGTGCTATATAGCTTCACTGCAGGAGGGCAGCATGAGGCTCACCACACTCACTTGTGTTTTAAGTATTTGGAGATGCTCACAAACGTGCTTTAATTCTTTCCTAGAGCCTATCTGTGCTGTGGGACAGGGAGTGGCAGCTTTGTGTTGTGCCACCAATGAGGATAAATCCTGGGTTTTTCAGGGATACAGCCTGACAGGGGTAAGTCAAGCTTTTACCTGATTTTTGCTGTTTGGGGGTTTTTTAGTTTCTTTTTCTCTGTGTGATTTCTGGTGGTTTTGATCTTACCCAGAAACTTCCTGTAAATAAAAATTAACGGTTTGGTACTCTTGGCTTGTGCAAGATGTGCAGATTTGTCTTTGAAAGGGGCCCAGCACTGAGTGCATGAAGGGTTTCTCCCACTTCAGTGGCATGCGGGGAATGTTTTCCCTCTGATTATTCAGTAAACTTTAAACTGAAGCAAAAAAAAAAAAAAAAGCTTGAAATTCCTGCTGCAGCTCTTTGCATTTGTTGTTGAGGACT